AGTGGTCGAGACAACTGTACTAGCATCGAGATCCAGCGAAGGAAGCAACCAATTCATACAAGACAGCCCGAAGTATAACGCGCGTTCACTCACCGGCTTCCACAACTCAAGCTCATTCAGTCAAAGGTTGCCAAAATTGGTCAATGACCCCGCCTCGATGTATGGCAGAGAACGAGGCGGGCGACGATAAGCAGGATGAATCATAACACATTGCGTTATGACTTTTATGCATGCAAGCTGCTCCCCGGCAAGGACAGTGCTGAGCGGGTGAGCCTGCTGGCCGGGTCCTGGTGGCTTTTCGCCGGAATCCCTGCAAATTCACCACGCCGGGTTAGAGAACGCAGACATGGGTTGATCGGTCGATCACCAGTATGGATGAAACGTCATCGCCCATCAGCTTGCGAGCAGGTATCTGTACGCTGGGAGTTCTGCAAGTAACTCGAGCTTTGGCGCGTATAGTAACATTCGGGCATCACATAGTGAGTGTCACACAACTGCAGAGACGTTGGAGTCTATTACAATTAGCCGCTGCCAAAGACTGACAGTAGTTGTCAGTTACAGACCCCCTGCTCGGCACTGGTACTATGAACACACGGATAGACCGGCTCGCGACCAGACTAAAGACTATCAACGAGGACAAGGGGAAGAACCTGGCCGGTGTCAGCATATAGGTTGTGATAGGTATACTCTAGGGGCCTTCTCTTTTGCCAGGACCCTGGGAGATATGGAACGTCGCCCCGTTAGCAGTCAGCCGCAGCTTTAGGTCGTCTCCAGCACGAAAGGTGGTGCGAGCACAGGCCGCCATGAGGCATCAGTCAACCAGGATTCGGTACTTTCGGACACTATTCCACGCTTCTAAGCCCTCCTCGAAGCGGTTTCGTGTTACACGAGATTGTAGCGACGCATTCTTTACCCTGTAAACCGGAGAGATAGTCCAGCCAAACGTTTTCCTTGAAGACGATCCTTGCGTTCCCAGTTAGGCGATGTCCACTACTATCGACGCCCAGACCGTATGCAGCCTCACAATACCTAGACCTAGAGGAAGGACAATAAGCTGTGGCGTTGCCCAGACCTAAACGAGCTGGCTTGCGTGCCGAACTCAGCCAAGACCTGTCAACCTGCTCCTCGGTAACCCCATCGTTCCGGTCCCAAGGGCTGATAGTGCCTCTCACCGTTCCACAGACTGGCCGTATTCGTGTCAGGTCGCAGATCATGTTCACGTCTGTGGGTTGTCGACCTTTCCATTTTAATCTGTGTCCGCATAGGGGCGCGCATGGGCTCTACGGAGACCAGGGGAATCGAGGTCGATAGTTGCGTCTTCTCATGTATGGCCGAGGCGTGTAAGCTGCATAGGCCCCTTTCGTCTTGAGTACTTCCGGAGATCGTTTCATTCTTTCAGGGTCGATATCCATCCCTTACGGCCAGTGCCGGCTTATAGGACCATGAAAAGCGTATCGTCCTTTTTACGAGTCACAGGGCTTCTCGCAAGTCTGGATCGCAATATACCAACCTCATCGAAGATATGGTTGATTTTATGACTAGTCCTCATTAGGAACCGCTTTCACTGACAGTGGGACTTCCTTGTACCGTCGCTCTGACCAGGAATTAAGAGGGTTCAACAGAGGGCTCAACAGAAGACAAGGTGATTTCATAGTTATGCATGCTTTCTCTAACTACGGGAAATCCTCAATCGACTGGAGTCAAGATTGAGGGCCCATTTACTGCCTCTTAATGCCTTTGCGTTAGAAATTATTCCTGCTGGCATCGGACACTAAACGCAATTGGTGTGTTACTTGCCAGTTTCATGGATAATTTGGCTGTTATACATCTTTGTCTGCAGGAATCCATGCTAGTCGTTGCTGACATGGCAGATAGCTGGCGCAAATGAAGTGGGTACCTTGTCTGACGATTATACATGCATATACGAAAGATCTGTCCCCTGCTGCAACTGTTAGTGGCTACTTAGAAAAGTGTTGATACTTCCATGAAATATCGAAGTATGTCGACGGCAAATACCATCCAAGTTTGGGATCAATATTGCTACACTGCAGGGGCCGAATAACACGAATTTCGCAATATAACCGAGGCCTTTACATATCATGAGAGTACCCTCCTAGTTATCGGATGGTTCTTAGAATTATAGTTGAAACCTGTAGTCAACCAGACTTAGAGAATGAATATGTTTAATTGGTTCCTTATCATTTTCAAACGCCGTGCTCACTTTGTTTGCGGTTAGTAATCTAGAGTGATATTAAAGTCCTTTGAATGGTTATTAGTGTGGGATCAGAGTAGCTCTCTAGATGGCTTCACATCAGTCACTCTCTCGGCCAGTGTATTACATGTCAGGCACTAGTGATATGCTAGCCACCACAAGTAGTTTCAGAACTTGTAGTTTTTCGACTGCTGGGGGCTTGAAGCTTTTGGTCTCGAGTTCGCATGTACGACTAAAAAATTCTAGACAAAGTCCATTGATATCCCTCTCTTACAATGCAATGGAGGAAAAGAGATACTGAAGCCTCGGTTTCGGCCAAATGAGCAGGCCTAAGCTATTCGAAGAACTACATCGGAGCCTGGCCACTGTGGGCGTCTCGTAATGCTTAGTCGGCGCCTAGAGCTGCTCAAGTACCGCGGCAAACGAAGAATCGTGTTAAATGTGCGGAATATCACTTTGGAAATAATGTATCCGATCATCCTACAAGCCGAAATAGCTCCTCGCAACATACAGGATGCCCAGGTTGAAGGAATGCAACTTTATCTGGGAATATGGAGTATTGAACATTGACACAGAGGCTTGCTTTCGTCGGAGCTACGTCTTAGGAATCACAGTCTATTGGGAATCGGGTTGGTCGGAACCATCCTTTGGCCAATTCTTCGCACCCTGAGCGATATTGGCAGTGAATATCAACTACGTTATCCAAGTAGTGCCCATATCTACCCTCATTTGGTGGCCAATGTCACACGCTATGGAATCCCTTATCAAGTCGGGAGCGAGGGGTTGGAGGAACTACAAGTTTACTCAAAGCCATGGAGGATTCTGGTGATGGTTGACTATTCTTGTGTCCTTTGTAAGTCGCTGAGCAAAGTGACTTGTTGTATATCTCGTCACCATTCGGATAGAAGCAATGGAAGCAGCGACTGCTGCGGGCCTAGTTGGAAGTAATGACAAGACGCCACGAGGAGAATGTAGGAGTCGCTTGGTATGTATGCTTACGTAGGCATCCAAGGCCCCGGCAAATTCGGGGGCTATAAACGAAGGTTTAATCTCTGAAACTCACTTTTGCTGTCTGTTTACCTTTTCCCTATGTTCATGCGGAATGATGTTACGCTGGTCAGAGGAAGTTTGGGCGATAGTGATTGCAAGAGCCCTCAAAGATTATGATTCTCTAATTAATGTACTATTGGTCTACTTGAAGGTCTATCTTTTAGGGAGTGGTCACTGACGGATGACGTGACTGGTGAAGTCTAAAGACAGGCCATAGAGCACTCTACAGGGTATGGTATGGCACATGCTTGCGACATTGCTAGACGGCTTCAGCCGGGAACAAAACCGAGCAGGAGACACCATAGCCGTTTTCTCTCGTAGCCAAGGAGCGCCCGGACGAGAAATCCAGGCGGAACCGATCTATGCAGAAGATATCAACTGTATCGTACTTGAAGCTTTCGGAATAAATTTTGAGTGCCGAGGCTAAATCCGATAAGCACTGGCGTGAAAACTCGTTCAAGTTCGTGGGGGAATTTGCGCAGCTAGCGTTCTGCGTGCGTGACTTACCATTGATCTCAAGAATGACAACAGCAGAAATAACGGGCATATCATCAGGTTTGGTCAGCAATCATCATAGCTATACTCAGGCAGCGGAGAGCAGAGGATGGGAAGTTAGAGCCGTCCTCCGCCCACATGCTGAAGAAAGTCTCGCGACACAACGGAGCAGGGCCCGGCGGGCACTGCGACCTTGATTGGCGTCTTCCTCCAAGCCAAATACAGCGAGTATTTGCTTTGCGAAGTGTGATGATTGAGCTTTGGGAGGATGCCGGCCGTAGGCAGAGTGGTAAACGTGCCAGTAACAGGCGGATATCGACACTACTTGGAGTGTTGGAGTTTCGCCCGTCGATGCATGCATGACTATGAGTTGTGTCTCTCTCCCCCGACAACTAGAATGCCGGCCAATAACGTGAAGGCTCTTGAGGATTTTGTCACGATGGAGATGTGACCCGCACCTGGCTCCTGCCGAACTAGTACCCTAAGTAGGGTCGGGCGCGGCTGGACTCTAGTACGTGGGCCCTTGCTTCCATCGACGTGCATGTCAATCTTTATCGAATGAGTCTTCTCAACCGCCGACCGTTGTGCTTGGGGAGAATTACGTCTGCCATTCTGCCGTCCTGATTTGGAGTGTCCGAGCCTGCTTACCAGCCAAGCGTCTGTCCGTCAGCTGGGTAGCACCGTCTGATACGGTTGAGTAGCGATCTGATCTGTCGGGTCGCTGCTGTGAAACCCTAAACAATCCCAAGTTCGGGTCGCACAGAGGCAGGGTAGTAACGTAATAAGAATCGCCTTAGGAACGTCGACGAACCATCACGAATCTTTACCCGAGATTGCAACAAGCTTCGTCGTGAGCCCCATGCCTAGCTGTTTGCCGTCAACAAGCTCATTTTGACATCGGCCCTGGCCAAAGCCAAGGGAAAAGTTGAGCAGACTCAACGGCTCGACACCTCCACAAGCTCTACCATCATTTCCAACGAGGAGCAGGCTAATTGATGCTGTCGCGTCGACACCGGGTCTCTCTTGATCGATCCTGTACCCCCACTCGCGAAAAGTTGAGAAATATCGCCTGTTCTTGACAGTCGTTCCGTCAAATACCATCCACAGGCCGACAAAGATCGAGAGCAAGCTGCTACTGTCCTCGACGAACCACGGGCGAGAATCCGACAACAGGGTATCCTTCCGCGAAGCCACTATCCGTTCTGCACCGCATCCGCCACAGAAGTGCGGTGCAGCAGGCAAGATGACCACTGGCGATCTCGCTGAGAAGAAGCCAGCCGTAGATGACCTGGAAGCTGGCCCACGAACCGAGTCGCATCATCCGGGAATAGCGTCTCTCCTGAACGTGGAGCCAGGCGTTATATATAAACCTGATGTAGGGGGTAAGCCGAGGTGGTATCAACGCCTTCTTGACGCCGGCGTGGAAGAAAATGGAGTGAAACCGGTGCCAGTTGAAAGGCGAACAATAACATCCTACAACAACCTCTTCAGCGTCTTTTTCACAGCATTGCTATGCGTGCTCCCGTGAGTAGCTGATAGGTCCCCTTACTGTGTTTGTCGTTGTCAAACTAAGTTTGTTCGTTATAGGATACCGACTGGAATGCTCGCGACCTTGGTATTTGGAATGAGTCTTAGGGATGCGTCGTTGACCATCCTGTTCTTCTCGATGTTGACCTGTGCCCTGCCGGCGTTCATGGGCTGTGGAGGATATAAGACAGGCCTGAGACAGCTTATCCAGGCTAGATACTCGTGGGGTCTCTATATTGTCACATTGCCGCTTATTCTGAATGCCGCGACCGTCACTGGCTTCTCGTTGGTTGCTGCAATCGTCGGGGGCCAAACGATAGCCGCCATCAATCCCGGACATGTCAGTGTCAACGTCGGAATTGTAATAACTATCGTCATTAGTTTCGCCGTATCCTTGCTGGGATTTCGGGCGCTCCACTGGTGGGAACGTTGGAGCTGGATACCAAATTTGCTGGCGATTCTCATAACCGTGGGATGTGGCGGACGTTTCCTTTTCCAACAAGCAGAAACCGAGGCGGCCACTGCACCGCAGGTCGTGTCCTATGGCGGTCTTATCGCGGGATACTTCATCACGTTTGGTGGCACGGTCTCCGATTACTCCATATATCACAACCCTAAGGCCTCAAAGTCAGTACCTATTGCATGACCTTCTCGGTTACAAGAGCTAACGGAAAGAAAGGGCCAAAATCTTTACATACATTTACCTTGGACTCCTAACGCCGTCAGTGCCCCTCTTTGTCCTCGGCGCGGCCATGGGCGGAGCTGTACCGGTTGTAGAAGGCTGGTCTGATGCATATGATGCCTATGGCGCCGGAGGCATACTTGCAGAGATGCTCACATCTGCTGGTGGTTTTGGGAAGTTCGTCCTGGTTCTGCTTGCTCTGAGCGTTCTTGGCAACATTGCAATCTCCATGTACTCGGTGGCGTTGAACCTCCAGATGGTCCTGCCCGTCTTCACAAAGGTCCCAAGATATTTCTTCATCCTCGTTGTCATCGTAGTGATGATACCCATCGCGATCAAGGCTGCCGAGGAGTGGGAGGAGTCTTTGGAGAACTTTCTGGCTCTGATTGGGTACTGGGCCGGTTGCTTCGACGCGGTTCTCATAGAAGAACTCGTCGTCTTCCGGCGCATGGATTTCTCGACGTATGACCACGCGATCTGGAATGTGGGGAGGAGGCTTCCGTCAGGTGTCGCTGCCATTGCAGCATCGATCTGCGCGATGGGCTTGGTTGTCCCGGGTATGGCAGAGGTTTGGTACACTGGTCCGATAGCGGAAACAACTGGAGATATCGGCTTTGAGATGGCCTTCTTCGTAACGGCCCTCTGCTACCTTCCTTTCCGGTGGCTCGAGATCAGGGTAAGAGGTCATCTCTAGGCTGTGTCGGCATGCGCCAGACGAGGGGGCCAAGGGACAGGGTTGTGAGCGCCCTCTGCAACAGGTGCGTCAGAGGCGCAGGCGGCGCCCCAGACAAGGCTCAGGAGCGGGCTTGAAACGGTGTAGATAGCAGTGGTAGGGCCCTCGATGTCTATTCAACATTAGAACATCCGGCTATGACGCAGTAGTAAAACGGTTTGAAATCACATGAATGGTGGCTGTCGGGTCGTCAAGGAGAGATCAAACGTACCGTCGGTTGATGTAGAAATCTGGTCAGTTGCATTTGCCTTTGCTACGCTACGTCTCTTTGCTGCCCGCAAGCCTGCCGCACAGGACAACGTCCTCGCCGAGCGGGACCCAATTGGTGTCGGCAAGCCGGGCTGCAGGGATTGGGTGGCCATGAGCATCAACCCTACGAGCGGGTGAAACCACAACCCCGCCCTTGCCTAACCATGTGGGCGCAATTGTCACGATTACCGAGTCGATGAGGTGGTTTGCGCCAGGCTCCAGCAGAGAGTTGATGACCTCGCCGCCGCCCTCGACCATGAGGCTGTGCAGCCCCTCGCTCTGGAGAGCCAACAGAATGTCTCTCCACTGCACCCTCTGGGTCACTGCGTCACGGTCAAGGGCGATGTACTTCCCGCCGTGCTCCTTCAGGAGGTCTTGCTGCTCCGGCGACAGGGCCGTACCGGTTGTGGTTATGATGAACGGGGCCAAGCCGCGTCCAGACTTGGCCAGTTGCAGCACCTTACTCTGCCGCGTGAATTGCCAACGCAGGTTGGGATCTATCACAACTGGCCGGGGCTGTTGTGTAGCGCCGACTCCTTGTATACGACAGTTCAGACCGGGGTCATCGGCCACGGCCGTCCCCACTCCAATGCATATGGCATCGTGCCGGCTGCGTAGATAGTGTGTCATTGCCTTTGATTGGGGACCGGAAAGCGCTGTCCTGGTTCCCGGGGCCAGGGAGAGGGCCGAATCGAGAGACGTAGCAAACGTGAGGGTAACAAATGGCGTGGAGCATTCCCGTGGCGGCAGATGAGGTTCCAGTTTGTCGGCCTCGAGACGCGGAAATGTCAAAGTCTGGTCTCCCATCTTTCCGAATCCCTTCAGGGGGCCAATGATTGCGTTGAGCTGAATATCTGATGGCGACCCAAGTGTGACGGCTCGGATGCGACGTTCTCGTGAGATAGACAAGGCAAGCCCGAGAGTCGTGGGCGAGTCTCTTGTTGATCAAACCAAGACACTTTTCCCAGGAGGATGGTACTGATATGATCTGGCGTCCCGTGGCCTCCTGGCAACCGTGTACAACGTACTCTTCGTCCCCGAGGCCCCCGAGGTGGGATTTGTGGTCGGAAGCGTCCCGACTGTTTTCAGAGATTGGCTGACCGACGTTACACTAAACGTGAGACAGTCCGAAAGGGAAACTCATGCGGCGGTTTCTGAGGCGGTTTCTGCAGCGGAACACCGTGACCAACAGCTACGCAGCAGAAGCAAAGCAGAGGCAAGGCGAGGCAGAAGCAGACGGCGGGATTTGCAGCGAGACTCTGACCACGTTTGTGCCGGTGTCTTCTGCCCTTAGATATGCTTTTTGCAGGGCTCGCGGATGCGCCTAGGGCCCCTGCCAAATCACTAATAGGCCTGCAAAACACTGGGGTTTACCTCTTTCAGGAGCCGCCAACGGTTCCACCCAATGAGGGGCCTAGCCTACTCCAGGATAGTCTGGCACTCGCCGGCAGGCAATTCGAGTGGATGGTTTTGGGCAGACTGAACCCAAGTACCTCTCTCTCTGTCTGTAACCAGGTAAACTTGAGTGAGCCCTGCCGCACACAAGTCACCCTCGCAGAGCATGCCCGAAAGGATATGCCGCGCTCGTATTCGCTCTGATGGCCCGCTCAAAGTGTTGGCTGCTATGGTATATGAGACCGCCAGCTTCTTCACCAGAAACGCGATGTGAATGGGGGCGGCTGTGTCAAATCCGCATCTGGGAAATCCCCCCGCCGTCCAGTGCGATCCAATGTTCGGTGCAAGAGCAGGGCCTGCAGGGGTGCCTGGACACCCGGTGTGCGCCCCGGCCTGGCCTTGTCCAATCTAAAATCACCCGGGTCCCACGGAGACGCAGGTGCTTGCCAAACATGGCAGCGTTAGTTCATCGCAAGCCCTCTGCTCCAGAGTCTCAGAAACTGCACGCGTCGTATGGTCCTTCAAGCTGTATGCATCTGGTTACGTTTCCTCTGCTCGAGCGGCCTCTCTGTGGTCTGGTTGGCGGGCTCGCGGGAAATATCGTCGGTAATATTGTCCTTGGACGCAATCCCCAGTCTACGGTATGGTACGTTGCAAGCCAAAAAAAGACTGATTCACCACTGCACGGACTTCTGCACGATCTTCCCACCCTTGCTCCGTTCTGGCGCGATGCAAGATCAATACGGACTATACGGTGCCCTATCTTTCCGCCGCCAACTAGCAGCGTATGACAGGACCTGGACGTCAAGCCGCCCTGTCTGCGCCTGGCCGCTCACACGTCCCTGGATTTCCGCCGCCCTGTTTACCACAATCGTCATACTTGTCGTGCTCTGCGTTATCTTGATCCCGCGTTTTCTTGCCGGCCTGTTGTAGAACACCAGATTTCAACCTATCCGGGGCTGGTTAATTTATCCCACACATATACCTGCCCCCCAAACCAGAACCAGGGTAATATAACGCTGATATGCTTCCGTGGAATACCCAGCCTAAGTTAGCTCATCGTCATGTCCTTCGTTACCATGCACACTGTTCGAAAATCGTACGATACGGTCATACCTGGCCAGCCCTACTCGACAGTTTGCTCCCTGTACAGATGCTCCCCCAAAAGCGACCACATATTACCGTGTTAGCCTACGCAAGGGCACGTCATGACTCGCGACCCTCGGGCCGAAGTTATCATCATTGCTGAGCCGGCTTTGAGACAACCAGATGCGCAAGCATGGTATCATATGAAACGTACCGGTTGTCGTACCGATAGATAAGATGCTGGCATGCATAAACAGCAGAACGAGAGAAGATGTGTCGTACCTGGTGAAAAGCTTGCCAATCCAGGGCACGCTTTCGACCCTGCAGCCAGGCTCGGATCTATACCCACGGTTAACAGTATCCGAGGCTCTTTATAGGACAGCAGTGGATGACGGCTGCATTCCGCGCGCCGGGTTGCCCATTTATATTGCCGCCGGCAACGCGCGTAGCGGAAGGATTTGGCTTCCTTGGGCCCGAGAAGTACCAGTTGAACCTTGCCTGGTCAGAATTCTAGGAGTTCAGATCTATCCTTGCGATATGCGCTCGACCCACTTGGTTCCATCTGGCGTGTGGTTGTTATACCTAACCAAGAAACTTTCTTCTTCTAGCTGCCTTCTGCACTAATGCATGTCCTGCTGATTAGAATTCTACTACTCTTCGTCCTGACGTAGAAACGAGCCAAGGCACGCACCAGTTACATCAAAGGTGCCATCAATCCTATATTCGTCCATCTCCTTACACCATAAAGCTTCTGGCAGTTGAGCGCAAGATCAAAACCGACATGGGAGCAGTTCGACACCGAGGGCGAGCCGCAGCGTTTGGACTGTCTTGTCAGTCAGTCTTCATGACTAGCTCCACCCCAGAAGATCCATACAGATATCAAGTAGGCTTTGGGAATTTCTTCAACTCAGAAGCTGTGTATGTTGGAAACCTTGCAGTAAAGCTGCACAACTCTCTTAACAACTTACCTATATAGTCCTGGCGTTATTCCCGAATCACAAAACACGCCTCAAGTATGCAAGTATGGGCTATACCCTGAACAGCTTACGAGCACTGGTTTCATTGCGTCCCGGAACTCAATGCAACATGTATGGTTTTACAGAATTCTTCCTGGAGTTGTCCAAGGTGCAGCCGCCAAGCTCTCTGGTAACCTAGATGTGAGTTAGAGTATAGCCAGATTATACTAGTTGAATATATGCTTACACGATATGCGAAGCTTGAGGCAAACTTCTCTACCAACAATGATAACGTCGAGTTCCCACCCCACGCCCTCTGCTGGTTACCTTTCAAGTTGCCGTCCCAGAGCGAACGAGTTGATTTCATCGAAGGCATCAAGACAATAGCGGGCAATGGGGATGCGACTATGAAGGAGGGCCTTGCTATTCACATTTATGCAGCTAACGTTTCCATGACGAACCGAGCATTTTGCAGTCACGACGGCGACCTGCTCATCATACCTCAGCAGGGAAGACTCGATATACAAACAGAACTCGGCATGTAAGCGATGTGCAGTGGGTAGCCCAAGATTACATATATTGACAATAGTAGGTTAATGGTCCGACCGGGCGAGCTCGTCGTGATACAAGCCGGTATCAGATTCAAAGTCTCCCTGCCAGATGGTCCTTCGAGAGGATGTATGTGCAGACCCTTGTGCTGGTTGTACTTTGACGCAAGCTTCTGATCCTTCTTAGATATTCAGGAAATATTTGGCAGCCATTACGAACTACCAGACATGGGACCCTTGGGTGCTAACGGCATGGCGCTTCCGAGAAATTTTGAGTTCCCGATTGCCTCTTTCGACGAGGATATTTCTGAATGGGAAGGTAGCTATTCAACAAACAGCCGATAACGTCTACGTGGGGTTAACAGTCTCTAGTTGTTGTCAAATTAGCAGGAAAGTTGTGGTCGTACAAACAGCAACACACACCGTTTGACGTCGTGGCGTGGCACGGGAAGTACGTGCAATTCACTGTCATCAATCTCAAGGCATGGACTAATAGTTAATAGTTGTATTCCATACAAATATGCTTTGGCGAAGTTCATCAATACCGCTGTGGTCGATAGGGACCAAAGTGACCCGTCCGTGTACACAGTTCTGACGGCAAAATCGAAAATCCCCGGCGTAGCAATCACCGAGGTCATGGCGTTTACTCCGAAATGGAATGCCACGACCAACAGCTTCCGGCCTCCTGTGAGTTGTCCTCTATACAAGACTCTAAGTCCATGCGGTGAACAGTCAATAGTAACACTTGCAGTATTACCATCGCAACATGGCTGCTGAGGTCATGGGTATCATCTACGGGCCGTACGGTGGCAGCAGCCGCGACCTTCGCGCTGGAGGCCTCAGTGTGCAATCCAGCTACACTGCTCATGGTGGTAGGGCCTGTCCTTATCTCGAGGCCCCATTGACGCGCGGCTCTAATTGTGACTAGAAACCTACGAGACGTACAAGAAGGCGACGACAGCCGAGCTGAAGCCAGAAAGGGTCGGCGAGGGCGTTCTTGGTAGGCAATAGCTCATTCTCTACCTGGTCCATAGGCCCGTGCTAACCTGTGCTAACTGCCACACTAGCTTTCATGTTCCATATACCAACACATATTGGACTGACAAAGTACGCGCTCGAGCGAAGTGGAGTGCTGCATCGTAAGCTTGGCCTGAACCCCAACAGCATGCGCGGAAATTGTTGGCTAACTGAAAGATCGAAGCTCCATCCCCGGCGCTCTTCAACTCTATGAGACCACACTTTCTCGAGCATACCGACGAGGTGAACGCAGACCTGAAGCGGATGGGCCTCCTGCCATTGGGGACACCCAGATCATGATTGCGGTGAATCACCATGGCACCATGAAGTAGATGAAACGCGAATATACTCAACATTTAGCCCACATAACTATACGTAGCCACAGATAAAGAAAACGATCCAACTTTGAAGCCCCCGGCCGCCGAGGCGGGAGTATTGGTTACCATGGCCGGCCAACCGTGAAGTTCCGAGCACCGGCGTATTGCTTTTTCCCCTGTCAAGCCTGTCTAAGGCTGTCCCGCTGTCTCGGACGCCCACCACGCATGCAGTCATGATGTGCAGAGATCGCCGCAGAATTTATAGATCTAAGTCATGGTAGCGTTGAAGTCGAGTTCTACCTTGCGAACCGGCGCCCTTGCTCGATGCTCCTAGAGGTGGAGCTACCTATAGTCCCTAGACTGCAGTTCCGCTTCAACGGAATCTATCCCGCAGCGGCCTTTGCAATATGTTCTGGCTCGTCTTTCCATTCAATGATTTTACGAGGATAAATGTTGATTCATTCGTTCAGAGACATTGTCCTACGTAATATCCAATGTAATAAGCGTTGGATCGTAGTCATGTGACGAACACTTGCGTGTATCCTGCTGGGCAAAGGCTCTGGCGTATCTAGTTACACATCAGGAACGCAACAGCTCCAGATGTATGTGATAGGTTCGTTGCAAAATCATGATTGCCATGGCCCAACGGCATGGCTTGACGGGAGGCGCCGCCAGCACAAGGCCGGCGATAAGCATTGGCATATCCCGAGGAGGACATGCCCCGCTCCGTCTTCTCCACCGTGAGGGCCCCGGGGGGAGATGCAGTCAATCCGTTTGAGTTGGCTTCATCCCACTGATTTCACGGCGCGGCCATGCTTTTTCCATGTCATATGTCGAGCCAATGCAGGCTCGGGGGTTTTCATCTGTCAGATCACAAGCCAATGCTGCCGGCGGCACGCACCCGCGGGGCAGGGCTCCCCAGTCCTGCAAAGGACTTTTGCTAGTTTACATGGCACCGTTATGGCTGGGGGATCGTGCAGTCGTTCCGTTTTCCGGGCAAGCTGGGGAAGGCGGTGACTCAAGAAGCAACGCTGGTAGATGTCCATATGAAGACGCCACTCCGCCGCCTGTTTCACAGCGGAAGGACTTTTTACACACAACTCCGGCGGCGCTGCAAGGACGCATCCCATTGGTGCCGGGCCTCTTTGCTTCGCAACGTGCCGAGTGGTGCTTCACCAGTGTGGCGCAGACGGCCTGTTCACTCCCCGCCACACGTGGCGTCATACAGCCAACCCCTTATTGGACCATTGTCTGGCCTCGTCATCTTGAGACGCGGATGGTTTGCAAACGAGCTCTCTGTGTCGCAAGATGGAGGGGCAGGGGTGGCTTGGAAGCTGCTGTGTAAGTGACAGCTTCAGTGAAGCCCGAGAGTCTCTGCTACATCTGAGGACGTCTCCTACAAACTCACAAACACACGCAGACAAGGCAGGTTCTCAGTCTTGCGAATGCTTGGCGACCACAACTATTGGCTTCTTGATTAATCTCCATTGTGTCCGTTTCGCTGGCGCTGTCATTTGTTTCCGCCTCCGTTGAACCATCTTGGCGCACTGGACGCCGAGGCTCTAACAACGCCCGAAATCTCCAGCTTGTCTGTCTGCCTCCTCGTGACTGAGGTGCTTCGCCACAACCTTGAGCGTAAATCTCGCCCGCCTTGCGCCGAGTATCCGAGCGAAGATCCTAGGCCAACTGTTTCCTGTCGCTTTTGACTTTGCATCAATTTTTCTTCATCGATCAACTACCTAGGCAAGGCTCCGAAGCGCCAGCGCCCTTCTCTGTCGCATATCCATCGCCTGATCGAGACTGTTCTCCAATTACCTCTCCAACCGTCAACTCCGAGTCGCATCCATCATGTCGAAGCCCCACGACGAACCTCCGGCTTACAATGCCGGGCCGCAACAGCCTCAGGCCTCGTACCAGGGCGGCTACCCTCAGAACCAGCAACAAGTCGGCCCTTACGGCCAAGGCCCGTACGGTCCGCCTGCGAATGGGAGCTACTACCAGTCGAACCCGAACATGGGCTATTACCAACAACAAGGGCCGCCGCAGGGGGGTTACTACCAGCAGCAGCAACAGGGCCCCTATGGGTACCAGCAAGGCGGATACTACGGACAGCCGGGCTACCCACCCCAGGGACGGTATCAAAACCAGAGCCACAAGCCAGGATGTCTTGAAGGTATCTTGGCGGGTTTGGCCGTCTGCTGCTGTCTGGATTTCCTATTTTAAGATGGCGGCGTGATACGGCGCGATCGAGGACGGAGCGTCAGCAGAGAAATGTGACTGCGCATCGCAAACCTTCAGACACTCGTTCAGCGGAAAGGGCGAGCGGACTGGGTTCGTAGACGCCGAGACGGCCCTTCGGGTTTGGGGGAAGGCCTCCGCCAGGCGCATCGAACATCAAACAGTGAAGCAGACCAGTTCTACGGCGTTGGAAGGAGGATTTGATTACCACCACGGCACAGCATTGGGTAGGCGTTATGGACATAGGCTTGAACTAGCGACCCGCCTGGGACGTCGGCCGCCCACTCGTTTGGGAACCTTTTCTTTTTCTGTTTCGTTACTTGCAGCAGAGGGCGCAGTATATGTAGTATACTAATAAATTGCATTATCACCACCGTCCGGAGCCCAGGTATCAGCAATACGCCTGTGAAATATGCGCGACGTTGTTTCTTCGGATAGGAGATGCATCGCTAGAACGCTACTCGAGCGGAAGTGGACGACGAAAGGTTTATATGATATAACTCCAACGCATGCTATCCAACAACGAACTACCCATCTATACTACGAGTACATGGCAACTGGAGTCTGATGTGGATGAGGCCGGAACCCACCAACCCTCCCAAATCAAGCCCGATCTACGACAGGCCGGCATATAATTGGGCAAACTGCTCCTGAGCGTTCTTGACACAGTCGTGGCCGTAGATCATGGCCTGCACCTCGGGGCTGGCCCACTTGTCGGGCACGGGCTTGCCCTTCTCCTTGGCCTCGGCGAACATGCGGTCGCGCTCCTCCTTGGCCTTGCCCTCGCCCAGGTGCAGCGTGCGGCCCGAGAAGGCGGCGAGGTCGACGAGGGTGGTGGCGCGCTCCTTGCGCAGGGCCTCGTAGACGCGCAGGGCGCGGGCCACGGCGTCGGCGTCGGCGCCGTCCCCGGGCACCAGGCTCAGCGTCTCGGCCAGCGTCGCGGCGTCCTCCATGGCGAGGGCGGCGCCCTGCGCCAGGTGCGGCAGCGTCGGGTGGCACGAGTCGCCGACCAGGGCGACGTTGCCGTGCGTCCACTGGTCCAGCGGCTTGTGCGACCGCAGGCGCCACTCGCACACCTCGCCCTCGGGGACCAGGTCCAGCATGGTCTGGACCAGGGGGCAGAAGTCGGCGTAGACCTGCTTCATGGCGCTCTTGTCGCCCTTGGTGGTGTAGGTGGCGTTGGTCGCGGCGGCGAAGTTGGAGTCGGGCTGCGCCGTCGACAGGTTGTAGATGTTGTGGCTGCTGATGGGGTAGGCGACGATGTGCCGCTTCTCGCCGATCCAGCGCATGGCGCAGTTGGAGTCGAGCAGCTCGATCAGCTCCGGGTAAGGAGACAGCTGCTCGCGCGTCAACATGATGCGGTACGCGGCCTGCCCCGTGTCCTCGACCTCGCCCTCGACCTTGAGCTCCCGCAGCATGTCGTACCGGGTCTGCGACTTGATGCCGTCGGCGCCCACGAGCACGTCGGTCTCGACCGTGTACTCGTCGCCGTCCCGGGGCTTGATGGTGAACCGGGGCTTGGCCCCGAACGCGGACACGCCAGCCAGCTGCGAGCCGAACTTGAAGGTGATGGCGCTCTCCTTCTGGCAGGCCTCGTACAGACCGCCGGCCAAGCTCTCACGGTGGCCCGTCATGTGCGGGTACCCATACTTGGCCTCAATGTCGGGCATGTCGACATGCGCGAGCTCCTTGTTTGTCGAACCCTGGACGATGCTCGTCGCCGTGATGTTTGTGGCCTCCCTCTCGATCCGCGTGCCCTTCAAGCAGTCTAAGCGGTCCAATATCCGCAGCATGTTGGGGGCAAGCTGGATGCCGGCGCCCACGAAGCCCAGGTTTGAGGCCGTCTCGTACACGGTGACGCTCTTGAAACCCTTTTTGGCGAAGGCCAGCGCAGCGGTCAGGCCGCCCATGCCTGTGTTCAGGTTAGCATCGCAGGAGCCAGAGCCGCGTAGGGCGGAAGTTGCGACTTGCCGGCGCCGACGATGTCGATCTTGAGATCTCTATAGTCTGCCATGCTGGGCAATGAGGCACGTGTCCAATGTTTGACAAGGAAACGTCACTCGAGACCCAGGGGCGGCCTGCTGTCAAGATATATCGAGGTCTAGGCTCGGGAGTGCCCCCATCGTCGCGGCGCGAGGGAGGTTCGGGGCTATACATATACCCTGCTCCCCTAGGCCGGACGGCTATGAATATACAGTATTAATCCGCAGCAATTGGGACTCTGACGCAGGCGTGGGTGTGGGGCCGCCCCGGCTGCGGGGTAACTAGACGCGGCGAATGCTACCTGGGCCGGAGACAGAAGCCCTCAGCAGCCAGCAAAATAACCCTGAAAAGGCGAAACGCAGTCTCCATATTAGACAGACCGGACAGTACCTAGGTATTCCCCGTGGCTAAGATTCGGCATGGGCGCTGGACGGGTGAATATTTCAACGGGCATCCTGCAGCAGCGCGCCTGGGGAGGTCAGCTGAATTCGCCGGCCTTGGACTCGCCAGGAGACTGCCTTGGACGGACCAACGCCTGCGCGGACGACGTCGACGACGACTTCACCCTCGGTTCCCAGAAAAAGCGCCGAACTCGTTAGCGGGCAACGAACGGACCAGTCCCGTTGCAGCCCCGGATTCCAGCTGCCCCTGGCTGCCCTCTAGGCTCTACTATGTGCCTAGTAGAGGCCCGGAGGCCATGGAGGCACCAGACGCCCGCCTTAGTGCGCCAGTAGCACATGAACTGCGGGGTCCTTTGGGTCCTGGAACCCCAATTGACCGTCGGTCATATTTGGAGGGGGCGGGGCACTCACTGGGTTGCTGGGTGCTAACTAGGGGCTGGCCTTTGGCACATGCGATCGGCACCACTGCCGACCTGTGAAGTGCGGGACATCTATATCCCATCCCACAGCATCCAGCCCGTTCGGCCATACCTGTGGTCTTGTTTATTTGGCCCTCGGAGCTTGAGTCGCATGTCAGGGTGTGCATAGTGTGAGAGAGATCATCCCTGCTCAGCCGATTGGCCTGGTCTACCGTCTGCAGGACCACCGAGTCGCCATCACGTCATCCCACTTGTAGTCGCAAAAGACGGCCTTCCACCATGTCGACCACCACCCGAACCCCCCTGATCACGGTCCTGGGGTCGCTCAACATCGACCTCGTCTCCTACGTGTCGCACCACCCGCTGCCCGGCGAGACCCTGACCTCGAACTCGTTCGCCGTCTCGCCAGGCGGCAAGGGCGCCAACCAGGCCGTCGCCTGCGCCAAGCTCTCGCGGCCCCAGGCCACCCCGACCGACCGCCAGCATGAGACGGCCCAGGTCCGCATGCTGGGCGCCGTGGGCGCCGACACGTACGGCGAGACCCTGCTGTCCAACCTCTCGGCCCATGGCGTCGACGTGTCCGGCGTCACGGTGAAGAAGGACGGCAAGACGGGGCTCGCCATCATCGTGGTCGACGAGCCCACGGGCCAGAACCGCATCATCCTCAGCCCCGAGGCCAACCACGCGCTGCAGCCCGAGCACTTCGCCCAGGGGCTGCCCGACCCCAAGCCCGACCTGCTGATCATGCAGCTCGAGATCCCGATCCCGACCGTGCTGCAGGCCCTGCGCGCCGCCCGCGAGGCCGGCGTCGACGTGCTGCTCAACCCGGCGCCCGCCGTGCCGCTGCCCGACGACGCCTTCCAGGGCCTGGCGCACCTGGTCGTCAACGAGACCGAGGCGGCCATCCTGGGCGGCGTGCCCGAGGCCGAGCTCGAGGCCGAGGCCGGCCTGGTCGCCGTGGGCAAGCGGTTCCTGGCCAAGGGCGTGCGCAGCGTCATCGTCACCCTCGGCGGCCGCGGCGTCTTCTACCTCAACGACAAGGGCGAGAGCGGCCTGATCCCGGCCGAGAAGGCCAAGGTCGTCGACACCACGGCCGCGGGTGACACCTTTGTGGGCTCGTACGCCCTCGAGGTCGTGGCTGCCAAGGCCAGCGCCGCTGGTGCTGCGGGCTTCGACATTGCCGCCGCGGTCAAGAAGTCGAACAAGGCGGCGGCCAAGACGGTCGAGAAGCAGGGGGCACAGAGCTCGATACCGTGGCGGGATGAGTTATGAGAAGCCGACGAGATATAGACTATCTTGTCGACACGGAGCACCGAGGAGAGCGGCAGTCGATGGTTCACGAGACTACCTCCCCTCCCGTTCCTCGGTCTTGTGTCGAGGCGCACGGCTCAGCAGCGTGAGATGTTGAAAATAGCCCGGTTGATGCCAATTGAGTCTCAGCACTTACCTGGCCAGAGCTGTATATAGGTAATGGTCTCTGCTGATTATTCGGTGTCCTTGCCTATATGCAAGCACGTCGAAATGAGCGGCCGCGGCTAATAGCCAATGCAAATAGAATGGTCATATCGCTCAACTCAAGCGGTCTGCGCCTAGTCAAGATTTAGCACAAAAAAATCACGATAAATCCGTAACATAGATTTGACTTCTGTGAACACTGATGGATAACCTTTGTGTTTCTATATTGCCGGGCGTAGACGTAGAAGTTCACCATTGTTTTTCCAGCTCACTGGAATGGTCTGGAAGAGAGTATTGAAAGTGTACCAGGGCAGTTGCGATGCCACTGATACCAAACAGACCTATCCTATGTACAAATGTAGCTGAAAACAAACATGCCGAATCTCCTATTCCTGCTCCTCACCACCAGCTCCCAAAGCTCCACCGCTTCGACGCCGTATCATTACTCTTCGTGCCCTCCATCGTAGTGACCGTCTGCCGTGCCGCAGAGATCTCGCCCATCAGCTCCCGCGCCTGCGCCGGGCCCCAGTGCGAGGCCACGATGGCGAAGAGCGGGCTGCACCCTGGAGACGGAGCCGGGGCCGGGGCCGGAGACCACGGCGAAGTCGCGTTGTGCCGCCGGACGGTGCCGACGGCCGTCGTCTGCAGCCGGGTCTGTGGGAAGCCGGAATGGCAGTATGACAGGCGGACCGCGAGGAGCTCGGTCTCCACGTTGCCGAGCTGATACTCCAAGTCGGCAATCAGGTCATCGGCTGGCTGAGCCGCGTCTCGTGCGGTCCTCGGCGGCGGCGGTAACGCGCCGAGCTGCAGGTGTGCAAGCGTGAGGTGGCTGGAGCCCGGGACGACGGTTCTGGGCATCTGATCGTTGATGAGCTCGATGATCGCGGCGTTCCTACCGCTGGCTCCCCGAGGGGGCAGGATCTCTAACTGTACGTCGTACAGGTACCCATAAAGCTGGCCCGAGATCTCGATGGTGGTCTAGACCGTGAGAGGGACATTTTCGAGCGTCTTGGCCTCTGGGGTGACCGTGATCGTAGGTATCAAGAGGCTATGTTCAAAGGCGGGCTGTTGCAGATCATGGACGGGCGGGAGTGTGTGGCTCGGATGGCGCGGTTTGTACACATCAACGGCGTCATAGCCCAGCGGCATGATGGGGTCCGGGTCGTATGTGCCATCGGAGGAATTGCTGCCGAAAGAGGAGAACCCGTCCTGGTCTGAACGGGGCTGTGATGGTAGGGATGAACCGCTGGAAGAAGTACTTGATTGGCGGCTGCGCAAGCTATAGCGACGACAGGTAGCTCTTGAAGACGAAACGCGGCCGTTTGAGAAGGACCGGAGTTTGGTCAGTAGTTTTGGTGTCTGGGTTCGCAGGATTCTGTAACTGGATGTCTTTCCCGACAAAGTCTGGCTCGAAGCACGGGGAGTGTTCTCACTTTTTGAATATTGCGTCACGTTCTCGGCACTGGGATTGTTTTTGCATGGACTACCGCCCTGAGATACCCCTATGCTCCCCCTTTTCCATATCTGTAGGGGGCGCGGGCTCAGCGCCCCATGGGTAAGGTATGCTTCCATGGCGAACGTGGGCTTGAGGTAGAGGCAGATGATCCTGGGACTGGCCTATGAAATGGCTTTGGACGGTCGTAATGCTTCCCAGTGTATCACCAACAGTGACCCTTGAGGTGTTCGGTAGCGTAGCAAGTGTGGCTCGGCTCGTACCGCGTCCTCGACTGAAAAGACCTCGCAACCCGGAATTGTGATGTGGTCCTAGGTCGAAACCACGGACAATAGCGACAACAATGATTACAAGAAGAAAGATGAGAAGTACGACAACTGTAACGATGATGCCAGGGTGAACAGGAGTTGCACTGTCTGTAGCCATATGTAAGGTGTGATTGTAATACAGCTACGAGATATCGTTTTTTGTGATGAGGGTATATTCCGATCTTCAGTGTTTGCAATATTTCCTACCGGCCTCGGTGGTATCATGCCATTGAGCAGCCCGAGGAAAGGGCAGCTTGGCGTAGCGATAGCACCGGGTTCCAGGAAAGCTCAGGTGATCGGCCATGAAGGAAGTGTCTTCCTTCTCAAGAGCACTCTTCCTCTCAACATATCCGGTGTCCTTGCGGCGAGTAAGCGCAGTCAGCTCGTTGCTCCCCCCAGTCATTCATTAAGCACTCAGTAGTTTCGGGGAATTGATTTTGGGGTGTCCGTGGCTGGCGCGATCTCCAAAGCCGAATAAGATCTGCTTCCCACCGCCCGGTATGCGGCCGGCGTTTGACAGTAGCTATATCAAGGTACCATCGGTCGTCATGTGGACTGACCCAAAGTCCGTAAAAGGTTGTCCTTGACCGCTTCGACATCGCTCTCCTCCATGCTTTGAAATCGGATCTGCAAACATATGAGCAAAGGATATGCCAACTGTACCGAGGAGTACCCACAACATCATCGGCAGCGCCAACCCCTCCGAACAACACTGCTTCTGACAGACTGGCAGCAATCCCCTTCTTGACTCTCTCCTCCCACACGCCTTCCCAGTTCCACTCTCCCGGCTTCCTCGTGGGCGCAGCGGGGATGGCGGCACTTTCAGTTGTGGCAGCGGAATCCGCACCACCGCCAGCAGGGGCCTCCGGAAGCGCCTTCTTGCTGTCTTGTCGGTGGGTGCGCCATGCATGCCAAGCGCCCGGGTTGCCGGCCGCTTCGAGAGGGACAGAGTCGAGCGTGTCGTCATCATCGAACGTGCTGCGGATATAGCGGAGCACTTCGAACGTGGGGATCTCCCTCTTCTTGGTCTCTGCGAAGCCGGGGGACTCTCCCACTGCCGAGCCTTTGGAAGGAGGCGTGCCGTCGCTGCTGAGGGACGCCCTCGGCTGGCGCGGTGGCGTCTGTGTCGGCTGCTGCTGCGCACCTGGCTGCCCGCTTCCAGCCGCGTGCCTGCTCCGTCGTCCGAACCACTCGGGAAACCCATGACGCAGACTAAACCCACCCGGAGGTAAGCGCTCCTCATCTGTCGCGCTCACGGTGCCATTGTCTTGGACATCGGTGGAGTACATGTAGGTGGTCAAGGGAGTGATGAGCGGGTGGAACATGTCAGTTGAAAAAGTGACCAAGGGCGGCAATCTAGGGTATGCATCAGGGAATGATATCTGGAAACGCAATACTGCTGGGGCATAGGGGCCTTGATCGATCTGTCAGTCATCTGAGAGGAGCAGGGGGACGGTGTTCTCTACGCACCATCTCGCACGAAGATGACGCCGGACCAGAGACTCGGGTCCCCCGGGGTGAGGCTGACGAAGATGCCTTCAGGACAGGCCTGCTTTAAGCCGGCACTTATATCAAGTTAGCCCCTGAAACTATGTCTCCATAGGCGCGGTCAACTTACAATTCGGCAAGCAGGTGCTGTCTTCTCAGAGCTGGCAGAGTGCTCAGCTTGGAAGACGCCATGGCGATTCAAGGCTGGAGAGAGAGACCTTAGGTTCTACGATATCTGTGAAGTTGGAGTTGGCAGGTTGTGAGAGACGCGAGGTGTGAGTATCAAACACATCCGCATACAGGCTCAGGGCGTTCATGCGGCCGACCTTGTGGGGCCGTCTCCGACGACCGATGCTCTGCAGGGTTTAGCTTCTGGAATGCACGAACACTGAGGTAGATGTCCCAATGTGAAGTCTACTTAGTACTGATACTGTTCACTGACTCTGTCTTCTATCTCGGATAATGATTTGGTTGCCGCCACTTGGCTATTTGACTTGAGACGTGTTGTTCTCGGTATGTGTACAAGGACCCCTGAAGATCATCGTAGCCATCTGGCTACGCGAATACCTAGACAGCGACCTACAAGTGGAAATGTAGATACCTAGCACCTCGTACATGTCTTAGTGAATCTCGCTGGTAAAATCTACGAGGCCTGCCACGTACTCGTGGACAACATGACCGTTCAAGCGAATCATTCCTAGAGGGTGTAGGTCAAAGTTCAGAATGGCGGGTTTCGCTGCTCTACGTCCATGCTGGGGGGCGTTGTAGATTCAATGTTCCAGATGTTGTCGGTACCTTAATTTTCCCACTGGGTCGCCGCCTTCGGCGAATGACGCACGTTTGACAAACCCTTTGAGCTTTCGGCCCAGTGCACATCTCTGCCTCGCGCACACGCGTTCACAACCGCGAGGAAGCCTTGTTCCGAAAATCTCTCGCTTCAACATCAACAGACTTGGAGCAGTCTAGCTACCGAAGATCTGAGTCCCAACTTCATTAGTGCCCCTCCACCGAGTCGAGGCTTCTCAGGCGCGATCGCACCCTGCCGGCTACCCCTCCATAACCCCGCCATCACTCCAGCAGCTCTCGACTCCCACCATGGGCGGAAAGAAGGGCGGCGAGAACACCAAGAAGGTCGCTGGCAACGCCAAAAAGGCCGAGGCAGCGGCGCAGAAGGCCGCAGCTGCAGACGCACAGAGAGAAGCGGCCGAGTCCGCGGAGTGGTCAAAGGGATCTAAGAGCAACGCAAAGAAGTGAGTAGCCGGCCAACCCCCCCCCCCCCCATCCTCCGCCCACCCCATGCGCCGCTTTGGCAGATGCAGAGACACCGTACTGACAGATGGGTCGCATTGTAGAGAAGCCGAAGCCGCAAAGAAGGCAGAGCAGGCCAAGAAGAAGGCTGAGCGAGACGCTGCCCTGGCCGAGGAGGAGAAGAGCCTGCCCAGTCGCAATGCGCCCAAGAACGCAAAGACGGCCACCAAGAAGACCGGCCGCGGTACGCTCGACCTATCGCAGCTCGACGAATCTCTACCCTCGCTGAACGCTTCGGGTATCGACAATGCGCTGGATGCCCTCGGCGTCGCCGGCAACGCCCAAGACAAGATCGACAAGCACCCGGAGAGGCGGTTTAAGGCGGCCTACGCGGCGTTTGAGGAGCGCCGGCTGAAGGAGATGGACGACGACGGCAGCGGCGCTGGTCTCCGGCTGCAGCAGAGGAAGGACAGGGTCCGGAAGGAGTTCGAGAAGTCTCCCGAGAACCCCTTCAACCAGGTCACGGCTACGTACAATGCATCACGCGACGAGATGGCAGGTATTCGGCAGTCAGAGAAGTCCAAGGTCGAATCCCGACTGGGCCGATAATGTTGCGGTTCAGGACCGAGTAAGACTTGGGATGCATTGGTGAGCATCCGCGTGTACGGCAAGCACTGGAGGACCGGCTGTCTACCATCTCAGGCCTTACGGCCCTTACAAGCCTACTTTCAGTCGTCTTCTGTTGGAAGTCACGCACATCTGAGCCTAGAAAGTTGATGGAAGCAAGCACTTGGGTTGTATCTGTGCCGCCGAGTATGATGAGATGAACAGATGATGGAGTATCTAAATCGCTATGTAGTTTCCAGTAACATATATCTACTTAGACTGGCGGTACAGACTGGTTGCGCATCTAGTTCCATTATACCTTTGACTATGGAGTGGAGGATCCGGTGCAAGTATTGCCACGTCCGGTTCGCCTGCCTACCTGCCCGGTTTGCCCGTCCCCAAGCGCAGAGTGACAAAGCATGTCGCGACAAGAGGCTTATGGCCAGGCCGATTTCTGAGTCAAAAGAAAGCACATGCAGCTGAGACACTCCCCCTGAAACGGCGTGCCGGACTGCTGGACAAGGCAGATCTACGTACAGTAAGCTTCTGTCGGAGTGCCACTAGCGCACGTCACTGCTGATCACAGGCCGATAAGGAGACCAAATGAATACCTAAGTTAGGTATGCATATCACGACTTTTGGACGTCCACACAGGATGAGTGGAATTATAGACATCAATGCCGCGGGCAAAGTTGTCCGCTACGTCGCTGTATATCCATCCCCAAATCCTCTCGGGGACATGGGCAAGAGACCGGGAGCCATGGAGTATGAGTATAGTGGCGGTCAGCTCGGCAATCTTCGGCTCGGGGAGAGACGACAGGACCCAGGGAAAAGTGCGGATGACGTCCGCGGTTAAGTCCGGATACGCTACTCCAGTCCATCGCCCTCTCGCTCCTTGCGCTCTGTCCCCATCCAGGCACTTCCGGTCCCTCTCTTCGGGTCGGGGCTATAGAGGGTCTCGTGACATTTCTTGGAAATTGAGACAACACCGAACTTACCCATCCGCCCTCTCCTGCCCGCCGCTTTGTATTCCCGCCCTTCGGCTTTGTTGCGACAATTTCCTCTTTCGCCGTCCAACCCGCCGCACAACAGCTTCGCCTGCTCTCACCACCACGCCCCCACGGACAGCCAACCACGCGGCTCGCATTACGAACCTCGCGGAGAGCCAGCAGACGCGGGCCTCGGTCGCAACAGCTTTCACCCTTGGCTAGCGAGAGAGGAACTCGAGGCGGATGCCTGCCCAAGATGCTTTCATGCCCGATATACCCACCACCAGAGAAGGTCACGCGGGCACAATCGTCGGCACCATGGACGGCGTCGTGAAGAAGGCCGGCGGCATCGTCGCCGGCGGCAGGAAACCCGAGACGTCTCCGCCGACTCCCGACCACGTCGACGCCCCGCCGGCCGCCGGGAAACGGAAACGGCCGGACAAGCACAGCATGGACTACATGATGCGCTCGGGCATCGCGGGTGGGCTGGCTGGGTGTGCTGTGAGTGCCACGGTCCCCCGGGGGGACAGAGCACAGGAGAACTGCCGGGACCACATGGATTGAGTGCTGACCAATTTTTCGAACAGGCCAAAACCACCGTCGCGCCCCTCGACCGCGTCAAGATCCTCTTCCAGACGAGCAACCCGCAGTTCGCCAAGTACCAGGGGTCGTGGGCCGGCCTCGCCCGCGCCGTGCGCGACATCTACGGCCAGAACGGAGTCGTGGGGCTCTTCCGCGGGCACTCGGCCACGCTGCTCAAGATCTACCCCTACGCGGCCATCAAGTTCGTCGCGTACGAGCAGTACCGGGCCTTCATCATCGGCTCGAGGCACCAGGAGACGTGGTTCCGCCGCTTCTCCGCCGGCGCGCTGGCCGGCGTCACCTCCGTCTTCTTCACCTACCCCCTCGAGGTCATCCGCGTGCGCCTGGCGTTCGAGACGAAGCATAGGAGCTCGTCGCTCGCCGACATCTGCCGGAAGATCTACCACGAGCAGCCCATACCGAAGCCGCAACCCGCCGCCGCCGGCTCCGGCGCAGGCCTAGCAAAGGGGGTTGCGTCCGCAGCGACGTCGACCATTGACGTAGTAGCCCCGCGGTCCGGTTTTGTCAATTTCTACAGGGGCTTCTCTACGACTATCCTAGGAATGATTCCATACGCTGGCATGTCTTTCTTGACACACGACACGGCTGGAGATATCTTCCGCCTCCCATCGATCCGCGAATACACCACACTACCCCAACCTGCCAATGCCCCATCGGACAAGCCAGCACCCTTGCGGGCATGGGCGGAACTCACAGCGGGAGGCATATCGGGAGCGGTTTCGCAGACCGTGTCGTACCCGTTAGAGGTCATCCGGCGACGGATGCAGGTCAGCGGCGCCGTGGGAGACGGGCACCGCCTCCGCATCGGCGAGACGGCGGGGCTGATCTTCAAGGAGCGCGGCTTCGCCGGCTTCTTCGTCGGCTTGAGCATCGGCTACATGAAGGTCATGCCCCTGGCCGCCGTCAGCTTCTACACCTACGAGAGGATGAAGACGGTTTTTGGTATATAGAACGGCGACGACAAAGAGAGATGCGGCGGCATGCGCAAAGTACATTCGACGAAGACGACAGATGAAAGCTTTGGGGATGGGTATTTGGGGCGGCGTTCCGGCGTTTGGTGATATATATACCTGGGTTAGGGGCAAACCAGAACAGTTTGTGTTGAGTCATGCATCAAGGCGGGTGGCTGGCTGTGATTCTAGAGGAGGATGGATCATCACGATACGAGCATTTCGCATCAGGCGCTTGTAGACGGCCCGGCGACTCTGATGTCGCATTAGATGGCCAAGACCGAGAAATACGATGACATTCGAGACTACTTTGACCCGTTTACGCGACTGCTCTCTTGATCATATAGATAGCGAAGGCACGGCCAGCTCCTCTTCGTGTTCCCACAAGTTACATCTAAACCTGCAGAGCTTCCTCCTCCGTGGCTTAATTTCTGCCTGTGCAGAAAGCTATCACGTAGCCTGGCCCAAGTTCACCCGGGGACCTCGGCACAAACTCTTCACACGGGGTACGCTACCTGGGTATACTCCATACTCGCCCACCTTCGAGAGGGTTTAGAGTTCCAAGCCCCAACTGCCACCATGTGGGCCCTCTGTCTCCGGATCTGGGGACCCCAGATCTAGCCTTACGTTGATCATGGCGATGCACGATTGTCGTGCACGGTCTTTGCTGCCCTGCCGTGGCCTCGTGGTGCCCTGTAAAGGACTCTGCACCATCAGCTCTCGGACAGGGCCACAACATGCAATCGAGGCAATGCCAGAGAGTTACCCATCTGTCGACAAGACATCGTTCCAGGGAAGCGAGTTTGACTAGCACTAGGTGCTTCTTTTGCTACCAACCCTACAATTGCATTATGTACAGACTGTGCCGACGTATTAAAATGTTGATGTAGCCATTTCGCTCAGAAACAATCCCAATTCGTCCCTTTTGTAGAAACGCCTAACGTAAAATAGTTGCCCCAATCACTGCGCCGTGTAGATGCTTTTTCGATAGGCAAAAATAAGGAGCGAAACACCTCATGATAAAATCCATTACTTCGTCGACGGTGAGGGCTTGCGATTAATCCGCCTTGATCGCGCTGGATGCGTGTCAGTGATCACACAGGGTGGTAGATGCTCATAGAAGGGGGGACCTACCCATATATCTTTCTCACAAAGGTGTAAGCCGTCAAAAAGCCCACAGTGCCCGTCAGGAGGCCGTACACACAGCAGGCCATGAAGCTGTAGCTGAAGAACAGCATCGAGCTAATGAAGCCTGAGATGTGAAGTTTCGCAAAGTAGTACCAGATGCAATATAGGAAGACCCACACGGCACTTCCGCCCCCGATCATGAAAGACTGCCACCACCAGTGGTAATTCTCCGAACAGAGTTGGACATAGACTGTCACGACTGTGACCTCGGCGATCGTGAGAATGAGGATGATTGACACTACCGCCAGGAAGCCAAAGACGTAATAGTACCCGCTCTTGTCCTGCCACATCGACTGGAAGACAAAAAGCAGCTCGATGAAAATAACCGCGAAAGGGATGAGACCAGCGAGCAAAACAGCTTGCATACTCTTGATATACCAAGCTTGCTGAGGAATTTGTCGCGGGATACTGCTCGTCTTGGTCGGGTGCTCCCAAGCCCCTGTCTTGACGAACCCATACCAGGATCCGACGTAGACGAGGGGAACTTGGATGCAAAGCCACAACGTGAGAATGGCAATCAGGGTCCCGAACGGAATGGCTGTACTCGACGCCTGTGCCCAGACGAAGAGGTTCAAAATGAACAGACAGCCAAACAGCAGGCCCGGGAAGAGCATGGCCGTCACCAAAGCATTCTTGCCGAAATCCTTGCCATCGAATGTCTTGTAGACCTTGGCAGAGAAATAGCCGGAGAAGAGGCCGGCGAAGATAAACAAGCCCACACCTGCGCTGATGAAACCGCCCCTGAAGCTTGGGTTGAGGATACCAATGGCGCTTAGGAGAACCAGGCCAAAGGCCATAAAGAGAAGCTGCATACCCGATCCCACCAAGGGAGCTAGAAGGTAGCCGTAATCGGGCTTGCGGAACACGTCGGCATGAAGCAACTTCCACCCGGTCACATCCTCGAGACCCTCGTCGTCAGATGAGAGGCTACCCTCATCCTCAGGCTGGTCTTCCTGTTCCAGAAGACCGCCGGTGGGCTTCTCGGATCTTGGGGTGCGCGCCCCGGCCTTTCGGCCACGCCTGACACGCAGCTTCCCGTCCTCGGCGGACACCTCCTTGTACCCCTTGATATCGGTGCGGATGGTCTTTGCCAAGATTATGAGGACAATGCCAGTCAAGAGACCACAGATGATCAGCGAGTTGACAATGGCAAGCCAGTGGATCTTGGAGCCCTCCTCTTGGTTCACAAAGTACAGGTCCCATCGGCGGTTCCATTCGATCGAGTCATCCTCTCTGAAGTAGACCGAGTAAGTGTAGGGAATGGTCAAAGTGGCATCGTCATCGGCGTCCTCGTCTTCGGGCCAGTATGACGAGTCTGGGTACTGAACGGCAAAATTTGTCGTCTTGTTTGCCGGGATGTCCAATTCGAAGTGCTCGTCAACGTTCTTAAGATCCACAGGGCATCCTTTTTCCCTCTTGGCGTTTGGGCCAATGCTCTTGGTGTACACCTCAAACCCAACAACAACCTTGCCACCCTTCTCTCCAGCACGACCGGGAGCTTTGCGCCAGCGGATGACGATGGTATGGTGATTGTTTAGGTAGTACTTTGGCCTGTCCGAGCTTGAAGAGTAGTCGGTGAAGCCCAGTTTGAAGCCGGCAGCGTAGTACTTCCGCGTCTTGTCTACGGTGACGAAACTGGTAGCGCCGGGGAGGTTGTCCACAATCCACTCGACCACGTATCCGTCCCTGACTAGCTCTTTTGCTCTTGTAAGGTCCTTGCGGCTGATCTCCTGATTGCAGAGAAAGTTGCACTCGCTATCCCGGCCTACTGTCAAATCGATATCCGACGTTATGATTCTGTCGCCGCGCAGGACCTCGCCGAGGTTGAGAGAGATGCTCTGGCCGCTCAGAAGCCCTCCGGCAGAATGCTTTCCCGTCGGAGGACAGACGAATGGCAGGTCATAGTAGGCGTACTGCAATTGGGTGTTGTCGGAGTAGACCTTGTTCACCAAGAGGGGGATCTGTTCGTCGTCTTTGTAGCTCTTGATTGACCAGCCTGGAACGAAGACAGTAGAGTTAGATATACAGGATCGTGACAGTGCATTGGCTGTGGCGTGTAAGTCGGGGCTTACCAGGTATGTAGAAAGCCCGTGCCTGGGAGAGCACGAGCGAAGACCAGAGCCATTTCAGGCCCGTCTTCCCAAAGTTTCCCATGCTCGAAGTCCTTGATGTTGTCCCAGCCAAGAATGTCACGTAAGGCAATGCATCAAAAAGTGGCCACGGGCCTGCGATAGAGGCGTTTCTGCCTGTCTTCTATCTCCGCCTAGCTCGTGTTTAACCCGGGTAAGGTTTGGGGGGGCGCCTCGTCGTTGACACAAGGTTGCGGGACGACAACGGGCACGGCAAGACAGAGGCCAGACAAAGACACGTCTTACGGCCTGTCGTATGTACCGCCGTGTCGCGGATCCCTCCGGATGATGCTTGCTGGGCGGCCCGAAAGGACGGACGATTGGATGGAACAACGGATGTAGAGAGGTCTATGCCACGCAGTGCAGAAGTCGGCACGACGAGGCACGGGGGTGGACGAGATGGAGGAGGGCTTGAGAGTGTCGACGGTTGCGAACAAACGAATGGAATCGGTACGGAGTACCCGGATGAGGCGTGAGATTGCGAGCTGAGGGCCGAAGGATGTCACGGTGCTGTGCTCTGCTCTACTGTGCTGAGCTGATTGCTGACGGGCAGATCTGGCGAGACACTCCGCTCGGGTCCCCAGTCACCAGTGGCCAAGAACGGCGCTGCCAGCTAACCAAGTGATGTGGGTGCTGCTGATCTGATGCGTGCGAATCGAGTGTCAGAATAAACCCAGCGGTTCCGTTCCGAAAGCCGAAAGGGATGCGAGGGGGGTGGCTCGGGAGCTTAGGATGAACAGAGCAAGTCGCAACACAGTTCTAGCAGCGACCAAGGGATCTACAATGCGATGAAGTGGTGGATTGCAAGAGAATAGACTGGCACAGATAAGAACGAGAGGAGGGGAAGAACAGTTGATTTCCAATGCCGTCTTCATGCAGCAGCACCGTCGAGTGCAACCAAAGGCAACCTCTCTCCCCGTACCTAGGCATTCTGTCCTGGATCCATAGGTGGAGGTAGGTAATTAAGGTTGAGCGCCTAGGAGCACTACTGTGGTGTATGCGCCGGCGGGCAGGCAGGATGGCAGCCAGGGGGGGGCCAGGGGGACTGGGGGGGACACCTCACTCCACCATGACCGGCCAGTACATACACAGTAGTAGCTAGTTAGCGCATCCACCATCCCGACTCTAGCAAGTCCAGGGCCAATTGCGGAGGTCGTGTTGGCCGTATCATTAGGGTGCAGTGCGAGCGAATGGGGAACACGAGGCCCAGGTCGGTCTGAAGTGCTGCCCTCGCTGGGCCTGACCCTGTCGCTGCTCCATCTGATCTCCAGTCTCCAGTCTCCAGTCTCCGGTGCCCCAGCGTTGCCATTTATAGATAGATGCCTTCCCAGACCTGAAGGAAGGACCCTACGCGAGGCGATCCGCCGCAGCCCGCGAATTCATGGGGCGACAGCCTCAGCAAAGGCTCCCGATTGACGACGTGTCTGGTTAGGAGAGCAAACTCGCGCACTATGCATCGTCCAACGTGGCGGGCACAGCGTAGCATGACAACACGAGCTGGGGTCTGCTTGCGACGGGAGGTTGTGCTTGCTCAACGGGCGCCTTCTTCGCTAGCTCCCGCCCGCCCGCTGACGTAGCACCGCTGGCACGCTACGAGGACCTTCTTATCTTTGCATGCGCGCGCAGGCAGGCAGGCTTGGTTAGCGTGGTGCATTTCGACCTCCAACATGGACACATCCATCTTGTAAGTGTCGGGCACTGCACAACTTCACTTTGGCTTTTAGGAAGCGCACCTCGGCACCTTAGCCAGAGATCCCGGCGTCGGTCCAAGCAATATCAAAATGACATCACTTATTCAACTGCGCCTGTATTAGACCTTTGTCTCCTTAGCTGCTGCGAACAAAGCCATTCAAGCTCCCTAGAGCGATTTGATACAGCAGCGCATAAGTCAACAGCCATCCTGTTTCTCGAACGCCACAATATTCTCGATCATTTCCATGCTGCGGTTAATGGTATCTGAGTTAAAAAGCACTGCAGTCATCTTTTCCAGTTTGTGGAAAGTCTGAACAGGGTTGCGAGTGGTAGGGTTGTCTTGTAACAAACAAACTAAGACTCTTGCTATACTCCGCAACAGATACAGACAACATCCCCACCAGACATGACTTGCACGACCCGGTTTTCGGCCTCAAACAGAGAAAATGATTGCTTCACGGTTGCCAGTTGTCTGACTTATCCAGCTTATCGTCCCCAAATGCCTTGGCACTTGTCTGGACCAGGCTCTTTTCCCCAAGGCCATCCGCCGACGCCTCCCAGAACATCGCCCCTCGCAGTCTCTTCTGGATCGCAAACTCGATCTTTCGCTTTACGGAAGCGACGTTATCGTAAGTGATGAGCTCTTTGGTACTCGCGTTGTAGCTGTAGACGGCCACTGTAAGGTTGTCGTATGTCTCTAGCGCCCCAGGCTTCGGCAGGGCCTTGTAGTCCCAGACTCCGAGGTCGCCTGGCCATGAGCCTTCCCACGGCGAGGTGAACGTCTTGCCCATGCCGTCTGTCTGGTTGTAGGACCGGCCGAATATGGGCATGCCGAGCACGATCTTGGAGCTCGGCACACCGGCTTGAGTATAACCGGTGATTGAGGTGACGATGGAGAAGGGGGTCGTCAGAGGATCTCTGGTGTTTGGGAACAAGTTCGCTTGGTGTCCACTAACCAGGGTTTCTGTCATTGTCGCGAACGCAAAATCGTAAGCCTTGACGTTGAAGAAGTCGAGGACCTCGGCCATCTCTCCTAGTGGAAGCAATGCGGCCGTCGAATTGATGGCGGACGAGGCGATAGTTAGAAGGAATTGATGGCGGCGGTTAGATGATTCCTTATCTAGACCCGCACGAGTTTCACGCAGCAGTTCAAGATAGTTTTGGCCTTCAGTCGCGTCTCTCGGAGACTCCCAGACTACGTCCAAGCCGTCGAACCCCTATCCTGTCCTCAGCAATCTGCCGGGTAGGGTGCATGAAAGGCTAGTACAGGGAGAAGAAGAAAAAAAACACTCACCCATTGTATCATGAGCCCAATAGCACTCTGTACGAACTTATCCCGGCTGGTTTTATTGCTGGCCAACGTTGCGAAATGCCCCTGCTGGGAAAAGACCCATCCACCGATGGAGAGCATAACCTTGAGATGACGGTTCTGCTGTTTCATGGCCCTCAACTGCTTCACGCACCCATGAAAACTATTCGAAGCGCCATCCCCCACTACGAATTCATCAGTATGCATACTTTGAGTTGATCCCTCGACAAGGGTTCACTATATCACCTTCGCCATCTAGAATGGTATCAGTATCCAGCGTCTGGTTGGAGCCTGTTCTTTGTGCAAGTCAGCGTCTGCCCCATGGCTACAATACAGACGCCCGATGGTCTTACACTGTCCCATCTGCATGGGGTTCGGCAAAGGCATAGAACAAGTGCGTTATGCTGGCAACTGGCACCTTATATGGCGGGAAGTTGCGTTCGCTCGTAAGAGACGCCCTGGACACATTGTTAGCCACGTCCTCAAACCCAAATAGAGGAGCACACCAGTTGCCATAGTAAACAGCATTGACATATGGTGTGGTCGAGCCATCAGCCAAGCAGGGCCGCAGTAGCGAGGCTACGAGAACGGTTAGGACGCAGGTTCGCATTTGTTATATGTGCGGCGGAAATGGAGCATGGAGAATTGGTAGTAGAATCAACAATACCTTCAAGACTTCCATGCGATTATCAGAGAGGCTTTATATCGCTCGACGATGCGTCACCACAAAAGCTTGAGCTCTTTGTCTGGAATCTTGTTGGTGTTGGTGCTGGCGGCTTTTCCTGTTGGCATCGCAATTCCTGAGCGAGCCTCGTGTTCCACCGGGCGGCGACGGCTGCCTCCGCTTCAGGAACCAGTCTGTCGGCAGCAAAAGGTCAAAGAGATAGCTAGAAGGCTGTGAAATCTCCGTGGCCCCTCGGAACGGATTTGAGGGTCTTGCTTTGCTGGTATCTGACGCAGTGGATATTCGGTGCACAGCTATGAGAGGATCACAACCAACAGCCGCAGCATACCGATATATCACTGTCGGCCAATAGGGCAATTTTGTCTGCACACACCCTGAGACTTGGGATTTTGCTTTGGTCATCGGACTGTTACTCAACCGTAGTATTACGTAGAAATATACACATACTAGCAGGTCAGCAAGTCAAAAAGCCATCTACTGGACATCAGAGCACATTAGTTTCTCAATCCAGATTTCCTCGCAGACCGCGGACCGCCGCAGCCCATGCCATCCAGCTACCTCTTCAGACTCGCCGGCCTACACAGCGCTGGATACACCGCAAGCACAACTTCCGGTACCTCGGTCTCCCAAGGGCTGCAGAGAGATACATCGCCCCAAGTGTACGAAAAAGTCAGAGCGTTGTTTGATCGTCTATTGTGCGAGCACCAAGCGAACCTCTACCGGGGCAAACCGTCCGGTCCGTCCTTTAGGTGATTATTTAATGGTACACTTTATGGTATTCCAGCTGCAGAAAACCCTTTTGCGAGCGCGCGCATACCGCTTACTACTCCTTTACAAGATCCCAGCCCTCTCGCGTAACACTCCCGCTCGCCATTCCCTGTATGCGGGTGCACTATTTGTCTGCCTCCCAATCCGGGTTCTACGAGATGCATTAGTATTGCTCCAGGGCCAATCGGGTGCGTAGGGAGGGGGGGATATCGCTTACCTTTTTCAAGATGACCAGACCTTCCAATGTGCTCGACAAGCTGATGTACTCCTCATCTTCCAGCTCGGCACGCTCACCATGGGCCAAGAGCACCGGCGTGCTCTGTGTCTGCCAGCCGGTGATGGTCTTGGGGCGACCGGCTTGTCCGACGACATCGACGGCCTGACCAACCCGCACGTTGACGGTGAGGGGCTTCAGGTTCTCATCGAGCGTCACCAAGAATCGCGGCTGCATGGCGGTAACCAGGAAGTAGAGCAGGTAGTGTGACGATGATGTGATGAACTGCTTGGCATCGATCATGGCCACGAGGACAGCCAGAAGACCAGCGGCGCTTACTCGCGATAGGACCTGGCGATCGGTGTGGAATGGGTTCAGGCTCATGGTGCCCTTGCCCATGTGGAGCAGACCCTGTGCAATGCGGACCATGAAGAGCGACTCCTGGTCACGGTGGTAGTAGGAGGCGAGCTGGCGTAGCAGTTGTGCGAGACGTGCGTTGTTGGTACCGGCGCCAAGCAGACCCATGGCAAAGATGGCATTGATGGCAACATCGTTGTCGTTGTCGTGACTGTACCGCGAGAGTGTGTCGTAGACCTTCATCTGGGGGTTGCTTGGGCTGATAAGACCCATCGCTAGAGGGACAGCACGTCGGATGTTGGCCTCGCCGTAGTGCATAAGGTGGCCGAATTGGCGTAGAACCATCTCCTGGCCAATGTCCTCACCCATGGCCACAAGGCCGATTCCGAGAACGGCGTATGCCTGTAATAACTCGTCGCCCTTCTTCTCTTCTGCGTCTTCCACGTGTTCGTTGCAGATGTGCAGCAGCTCTTGAATCTTGAGGACAGCACCAGTGCCGGCCCATGCACAAATCTCGGCCAAGACGGCCGAGGGCTTGGACATGGGGTGATCTACAGCCTTGAGGGTCTCGAGGATGACCTCGACTTCCTCTTGGCGACCGAAGAACAGGAGGCCGAGGCCGAGCGCGAGGAAACGAGTCCACTTGTCAGTGAGCTGCGACTTACGCTCATCGTCCATCAACAGGGTAATTATCGCCTCGCTGACATCGGAGTTCGAGGTACCAACAAAGACCAGACCCAGAGACAGAGCGGCCATGGAAGATATTTGCATATCCTGGCTAGAATCTGTGATGATGGGAAGCAGTAACTCGAGGACGTCCTCCTTCTGCGATCCGGCGTAGGACAGGCCGAGACCCATTATGGATGCGGTTCGCACGAGGGGGCTCTTGTGCTCTAGCTTGTCCTGGTCACCCAGAAGCGCCAGGGCCGGCTCGGAATCTATCCGTACACCAGAATTCATAATTCCGATGGCGAGCATAGCACCAGCCTGAATCTGAGGCTCTCCAATATACGTGTACTTGTCGATCTTGTCTAGGCCGTTTTCGACGTCCCACATGAGCAGAGTACCCAGCGAGGCGACGGTCGACATCATGCCCTCGTCCTTGGTCTTCCACACCCAGCTCTCCTTGTCCTGGTCGACGAGCATCATCTTGTCGTTGCCGAAACCCGCATTGACGAAGGCGTTGACGAAGGCGGCGGAGAGGTTGTGGCGAGCGGAGTCCAGATTTGTCATGCCAGCCACACGGTTGCTCTCCAGGTGGCTCTTGTAGATGTCTTCAGTCGTCTTGGGCTCGAGGATATTAAGCTCCTTGCCGAGCGTCTTGAAGTACTCTGCGAGCTTGATGTTACAGAGCGCCTCATCGATCTCGTGTGCCTCCTCGCTGTCCTTCTCGAACTCGAGCCAGATCTTCTGCCGTCCGATCAAGAAGGCAAGCTGCTTCTTGAGTGCCGGGTTCTTGGCCGACTCGAAATCCTCCTGAATGAGCTTGAGGTCGTTCAGACGGATAGCGATGACCATGGCCTGTGTGTACTCCTTGTATGTCATGTAGATCTCGTGTGCGACGCGCAGGAACTCCTCGTTGTCTGGGTAGGTCAGGAGGTTGACCATGCTGACCAAGTACAGACACACGCGCGAGTAGGTGTTCTCGTCGACGAACTTGGGGAGCCTCTTGACGATCTCGAGCTCGCTCATCAGGTCGACAGCGTCAGCCTCGGCGTTGGCCTTGAGGAACAGGGGTACCAGGACAGTGGCGAGGTCGACCAGGTCCTGGAAGTCCTCGTCGTTGGCGACACGCTTGGCGTAGACCTCGCCGATCTCCAAGGCCAGATGCCTGGTGTACTCGTGACCCCAGGATGCGATGTCTTGTGAGGGCGAGAGGAGCCGGTACTTGAGGGTATCTTGGCGGTCTTCGTCCGAGAAGGTCATGCCGATGACGGACAGGACGTCGGCCAGAGACGACTTGTCGTCACCCTCGGGCCACTCCTCGTAGAGCTTGGTCAAGGGTTCGTAGTGCGGTCTGAGAAACTTGAGGGGCTTGGGTACTGCGGTCATGGAGGAGGTGGAGGTCTTGATGGACGTCTTCATGGCCTCGAGGGCCGGCTTGTAGAGGGAGGCATCGGATTCCTACGATGCGTCATGTGTTTGTCAGTGGACTGCGGCGATGGTCGGACCATGCAGGCGGTGGAGGGCAGTGTTTCGTACCGTTAAGCGCTCCACGAGCATGTCCAGCTCGTTCTTGAGCTGCTGGTCTTCTTCACTGAGCTCTTCCGGAGCTACGGGCCAAGTCAGTCTCTGGGTACGACGGCAGTAGACAGCGGGTTCGTCGTGCGCCAGCCTTACCGTCGATGATCTTGTCGTCGTCCTTCTTCCCGTTCACCTGGGCGTCCTTGCCCTTCTTGGCATCGTCGGCCTTGTCAGCCTCGACGGCCTTGCCTTTGCCCTTGTCGGCGGCCTTGGAGGCGTCCTTGTCCTGCGCCATGATGGGCGATGGGGTTGGGGGATACCGGGTCGGGGTGGGTTGCGGTGCGGCGCGCGGCGAGGCAGTCTGCAGACGGCGGGCGGGCGGGCTCGGGGGATGGGATGGGATGGGCAGATGGGGGAGATGGGGGAGATGCGAAAGCCAGAAACGAAATGATTGCACCCGGGACAGATCAGGTACCGCAGGATGCCGAATCGTCTGGGCAAGGGAGGGCGGGAGAGTGGTGGTGGGAAGGATGGAAGATGATGGATTGATTACACACGAGCTTTCAATAGCTCCGGGCCAGTTTGAGACGGGATGGAGTCGCTTCCAGGTTGGAGTGATGCTTGCTTCCACTGCCTGCTGTGCTGCTGTGCTGCTGTGCCGGGCGGACCCTCGAAAGCTCCAGCCTCCAGCCTCCAGCCTCTAGCACACCACCACCACCACCAGGCGCCAGGCCCCGGCCAGCAACCACCACTCAGGCCACACTGGACTGCTGGGAGCATTACGCCAGGCTTTTGCCGCCTAACAGGTAGTTACCCCTGCAACCCTGGCCAGTGCACACGCCCATCCCGCTAGTGAGGCTGAAGGCGAGCAGACGCCAGGCCGGCAGCACTGAAAGTCCGGCCGACAAGGTGTTGAGACGGGGGACCTACAGGCTGGCAGGAGATGCTCCACATGCGGTGGCTACATAGTACAAGACCCATGTCATGTCCCCAATGGGGCCATGGGCCATGGGCCATGGTGGATGTTCGTCGGCTCGCTTATCGTTATCGAGAGAATGTGCACCTTGGTGGGATGGGGGATATTTTTTGACGGCATCGCGGGGCATTCGTTGGTGTGACTATTGAGCCGCCTGTATCTTCGTCTCAGTGCTGTGTCTTCCACAATTCCCTGTTCTACTTTTTTTTTCTTTCCTAACTCCATTCCCGCAGACAGCCTGCCTCAAAGCTCTTGCGTAAAGATTGGTTTGTAGACATTGCAGATCTTTCTCGCATCCGACGGCCACAGCCTCTGACGAGCCTCTCTCACGCCTATACAGTCAAAGTTGGCGGGCCCTCACACTCACAGCACCTAGAGGCTTCACGGCCTCATATCCGCCAACATGAAGTTGGACACCAAAGCGATGCGCCACCTCACGGCTGAGGATTGGCGCGTCCTCGCAGCCGTACGTCCTTCTGCCCCTCAACCAAGTCCCCGTCCTTCTCCTCTACACCTCCAGCACCAACCACGATGAGAGCACAGAAACGAGACTGAACACCCGCGCCTATACAGGTAGAGACCGGCACCAAGACCCACGAGCTCGTGCCCACCACCATCATCGAGCGGCTCTCGCGCCTGCGCGGCGGCGTCTCGGGCGTCCACCGCTCCATCAGCGCCCTGGCCAAGACGGGCCTGATCGGGCGCATCAAGGAGGCCAAGTACGACGGCTACCGGCTGACGTACGGCGGCATGGACTACCTGGCCCTGCACACGTACGCGGCGCAGGACGCCGTCTACAGCGTGGGGAACCGCATCGGCGTCGGCAAGGAGAGCGACATCATGGTGGTCGCCGACAACGCCGGCGTCCAGCGCGTGCTCAAGATCCACCGCCTCGGCCGCATCAGCTTCCGCACCGTCCGCGCCAACCGCGACTACCTGCGCAAGTCGCGCCAGGGCCAGGGCGGCACCTGGATGTACCTGTCCCGCCTGGCCGCCATGAAGGAGTACGCCTTCATGAAGGCCCTGCGCGACGAGGGCTTCGTCGTCCCCGAGCCCATCGCCCAGAACCGCCACACCATCCTCATGGCCCTCGTCGACGCCTTCCCCCTGCGCCAGATCTCCGAGGTCGGCGACCCGGCCGCCCTCTACGCCGAGCTGATCGGCATCATCCTCCGCCTGGCGAAGCACGGGCTCATCCACGGCGACTTCAACGAGTTCAACATCCTGCTCAAGGAGGAGCGCACCCCGGCCAACGAGGCCGAGGACGGCCCCGACGCCGAGGAGCAGATCCGCGTGACGCCCGTCCTGATCGACTTCCCCCAGATGGTCTCCACCGAACACCCGAACGCCGAGTTCTACTTCGACCGCGACGTGGCCTGCATCAAGCGCTTCTTTGAGCGGCGCTTCCACTTCGTCAGCACCGCCCCGGGCCCCTTTTTCAAGGACGCCAAGAAGACCGTGGGCGCCAACGGGGCCCGCCGTCTCGACGCCGCCGTCGAGGCCTCGGGCTTCACCAAGAAGATGTTGAAGGACCTCGAGGCTGCCATCCGGGAGCAACAGGCACAGCGGCCTGAGGGCGGCGAAGGAGAGTATTCCGAGCCTGACGATGATGACGACGACGATGAGGAAGAGGACGACGACGACGATGACCAAGAGCAGGATGATGATGAACATGGCCAAAATGGGAATGGCGCAGAGGACATCGAGCAAACCGTCGGCGATCACAGCAGTGCAGATGACAAGGTCGACGTAGGTATAGCAAAGCTGTCTGTTAAGGACGAGACCTGATAGAGAGAGCCGTCGTCCAAGATAGAAAATAACATGATACCCCAGCAAAGTCTACGGATCGCTCCAGTCAGTTGTACTATCACGATACTGTCTGGTGTTTGCGCCCAAGGCCAAACATAGCCTGTCTTCTTGTTGTTGTTTCGATGCATGTACTTGTTCTGACGATCACAGAGAATCTAGGTTGGGGCATCTAACACAGAGCCCTACACACGTCAGTTGGCATACATGTTTGACCTGTTGCCAAGCTACCTTTCCTGGGCAAATCAAGAGTGTTCACAATGAGGGATGCGGTTCTTGTGGTTGGGAAACCTTGTCCATGCTCAGAGTCATTAAGAAAGCGGTCAAAAGTGTACATTGTGACTGTCTCTCTCTATGAACAAGATCATTTGCATGATGTTGCCTTCGACAGTCGAGACCAAACTCAGGTTGTGTGTACGTAGCAGATGAACAAAATAACCACGCCCTGCAGATAAGGATCGATTCCCAAATCTATAATCCATCGACAAAGACCTTTGTGCCGGGTAATGTGACGGAGATGTGAATCCACCTGCAGTAACAATCGTAAAACAACTGAGGGGCGGTAAGTGTCGTTACAACCAGAATGCGTCCTGCCAAGAAAAAAACCCTGATTTCAGACCAATGTGAAGGGGTGCCGTTGGAATGGGGGATATGCCGATGCTGAGATGAGTAAAGAGGACGTGTGATGATTGATACAGACCATATTGGTCGATAGGAATAATGCGGGAATCAAGGCAAACATCCATTCCACCCTAGTCTTTCTCTTTCTTGATTGGCGATGATCGAGTGCTACCATTGGCAACAAGGGGAGAGTCAACGTGGACCGTAGCATCTTCATCGACGGAACCATCATCGGATGCCGGCGTGTTTCCAGCATTGGTACTGCTCGAGCTGCGCGAGGTTAGTAGGCATCATAGCCGAGGGCACCACCGTGGGATGTCTCATACAGTCTGCCCATCCCAACCTTGGCGTCCCTCACATGTGGCCCCAACGACCCACGCGGGAATGGCCTGCAACATGTCAGCCAATCACTCACGACCTACCCATTGAGCGAAACCAGAAGGCAAGCACTTACGTCGAGCCATTGCTGATTCCTCGCTGCTTCCAGCCGGGTTGACTGTAGATGGTGGGGGACATACCGACAAGGGGGGTTCCGTAAGCGCCAACATTGTACTCGTTGGTTCGGAACTGACGTCGCTCGGATGTGATGCGCTTCAACTCCTTCTGGGCGGGAGTGTCGGCGTAGCGGATCTGCATAGGGAGACCCTCGTCACCGATGGGGCGGCCGGTGTACTGCTCGATGATCTCGTCGCAGATCTCTCGCGACTCGAAGCTACTAGATGTTAGTCTTTGGGGGTTTGAGGCACCACCGTGCGGGATACCTACCGAGCGAAGCCAACACCGCGACTATTGCCAAGCGAATCGCGCAAAATCTTGGCCGAAAGGATGGGGCAGTTGATGAAGATGGCGCTGAGGTCCGTCTCGGTGACGCCCTTGGGGAGGTTCGAGATGTACAGGTTGGTCGAGCTTTCGTCGCCTTCGGCCTTCAAGCGGGAGTTGAAGGACTCCTGATCCCAGGGATCGAAGTTAGTGAAACAGTTACTGTGGAAGTCGCACGGGCAACCGCACATCTTGACGGCTCTGGGGGCCACTTGGCCCTGGGATTCGGCGACGGTCGGTGTGATGCGACCAAAGGGGCGACTGGGAGTCGGTGTGGTGCGACCAAAAGGGTCCATGTCCATGGCACTGGCCAGGTCCTGGGGGCTGGGCATGTGAAGGCCAGACGCATAGAAGGATTCAGGGTCAGTTACCCGCGCGAAGCCAACTTCATAGCCCATCGCATAGAATCCTCGGATGCAGGTCTCAGACTCCTTGACTGTGCCGAACTTGGCAAAGCCGAAACTATCCATGAGGTCAGTAAGATATAGAAGATTGTAGGCAATAGGCACGCTCACCCCTTGCAGGCTCCAGTTGCCGTATCAATGATGGCCTTCGAAGTCTCGACGGTACCAAAGCGATCGGCGTACTTGAGCAGGAGGTCGTCGTCAGTGGTAGGATGCAGACCACGGATATAGACATTGCGGTTGCCCGGAATCTGGTTGACAAGGCTCTGATCGAGTGTCTTCATGTTCTCCTGGGGCGTGAAGACAGCAGGAACTGCCTGGGGGATGGCGGGCTCCCGCGCAAGGAGCTGCTGAAGGTCACGGTCAATGGGGGGAGCGATTGAGGCAAAGCCCTTGGGCTGTGCAATCAGACCAGACGATGTGATCTGCTGGGGCGACGGAGTGGTGTAGGCAGATGAGCTGCGGTCGAAAACGGTGACACGAGCACCAGCATCGCGAGAGGTGCTGCCGTAGAAAGGGGTAGCCGGGGTTGATTCGGTGGTCGAGTAAGATGCACGGCGATTGTCCAGAGCTGGAACCTCGGGCTGAGCAGCAAGAAGAGTCTCAAAGTTCTTGGCAATCTGGTCTCGGACGGGCTTCGGCATCTGGGACCACTGCTGCATCGCATTGATGTCGTGACCACCAGGGGCGGGCCAGTGGAGTCCATTCTTGGGAAAGATGGCGCCGTTGCCACCGGTGACTGCGGCACCACCAGGAAGGTTCATCATCGCAGCGGGCATGGGAACGCCGCCGTGGGTGACATAGACTTGGCCGTCCAGACCAAGAAACTGGACACCGGGTATACCATGAAGAGACTGCATGCCAGGGTTCAGACCTAAACCAGCAAACTGGTCAATGACGGTGGCCATGCCGGGCTCAGCGAAGCTAGCATTCTGGGTAATAACGGCATTCTGGGGCAGACCACCACCGATGTCATGAAGGCCCGCAGACTGGCCCATCATGTAAGGACCGATGGGAGCGCCGCCAGTCGGATTGGTTGTGTTGGGACCCTGAGGACCAGCGGTAGCAGCGGTACCCGCAGGACCGCGGTTGCTTGTCTCGTTGGACATGGTCGAGTAATTCATGGTCTGTAAAGTCATCGTGATTAGCTTGTTTGAACTTGATCAAAGAGTATGAAATAACCATGAGTCAAGAATCAAGTACCGAAACCGCCCGCAAAGGCCGAGAGTTGGGGTATGGGATGGTGCACGAGATTGGGATGAATGGCAGTAGACAGAAATAGGAGAAAATGTGAAGTGGGCTTCGGGAAAAAAAAAAAAGGTGTAGATTCAACATGAAAACCGATCTCTGGTCAGATCAGTCATCAGTCATCAAGGCAGAGAGAGCTCGCACAACAGCATACTGCAGCCTCAAGAAAGGAGGGGTGATAGATGTAATAGGTTGTGAGGAAACGTCAAGCAATGTGACAATGGTCAATGCCATCGATGTGATAGATGTGAGTATCGGGGACGTTCAGATGACGACCACTGTCAATCTCGTCACGTCTGGATTGTGAGGAGCAAACGGTCACCAAAAATCGTCGTCTTCAACCTCACGACGATCTATCGGCAAGGCGACAACAACACGACCTCAGATTTGAATCGACGGTTCATGTTGAATAGGACGACGTCGCAGGGTAGGCTGAGTGGAGGATGATGATCGAAGGGTGTTTGTTTACCTTTACAAAAGCCCAGTGGTGCTGTACTTATCTTGGACTTCTGATGACGTTGTTGATCTGTTGTTCTTGTCGTCAGTTGGGTTCAGATGCTCCAGCTGATGAGGAAGTGTGATGCAAGATATGAAAAAGGATGAAAAGCAGTGAGTGAAAGAAAGGCTCCCTAAATACAAAGTGGCCGATTGTCCAACAGGAGGACGAAGGAGACTGGCGTAGGCCGATTGTCAGGAATCGAAGCTCGTCCGTCAACAATCGTTTGCAGAGAGTCGATTCACAACCGGCACGAGCCGTCCTCCAGGGCTTCATGAACAACGTCACGGCTCAAAGAGACAACAATCGCCCCGAACAATCGAAAGGGAGGCTTACCGTACAGAGTCTGGCAATGCCACCAAGACGAGTTGGGATGAAGCGAGCGGGTACAAGTAAAATAGAGTAGCTAGCGAGCAAGGTGAGATTCCGAAGAGACTGCGATTCGGGGTGGATGGGTGTGGTGATGCTTATGATGGATGGGTTGGTGGAGAGAAAGAGAGAGAGAGAGAAGAGAGAGACAAGAGAGACAGGGAGAGGACTTGGGAGACGCGGGCGTGGCGTGACGGGCAGAGGAACGGGCGGGGGAGAGACCACCGACCTTTGACGCGATACTTGTCCAGCAGGAGGTCGCGAAGGAGCACGATGAGATGCTCTAGGAGATTCTGGGAAGGAGCAAGTCCACTGCAGCTGTGAGGTCACGATCGTGGTGATGATGATCGGGAAGGATTGGTGTATTCCGCGGAAAGAAGCTGTGAATCCAAAGGCCGATAGGTCGGGAAAGAAAACCTCAGACTGAAGTGAATGGATAGTGCAAATTTTCACCAAACAAGGCAGCCGCCACGTCCTTCTAATCCGAATAAGCTTGAGTAAACAGTGGTCGCTCAAAGGCGGCCACAGTGAATCTGCCGTCGCTGTCCGGCCGGGAGGGCAACGGGAGAGTACGGCGGGGTTCTGCCCAACCCCCTTGGATTCAGACGGAACTCAAAGACCAGACCAGAGGATTTCAGATGATGTCTGTCTGATGCCCTGACTTGGGGTCTATGTCGTTGAACGTGTATAGAGTAGTCCACAGACAGCACAACCCGGCCTTGCGCCTGACCGCGGCCGTCTCAAGCACTGCTGTCGCGCTTCTGCTGCACTGGACGTGCTTGCCGTCTGCTCTCCGTGGCGCAATGGCTTTAGATCCTGGCCTGCAGCTGGTCATATCCTGCTGGGTGGACAATTAGGACGCTGTTGTTATTGCCGGTGAGCCTGGGTGATGAAGTAGTCGCATGCCAGTTGTGCACCAACATCCCACTCCCCTATTCTCTAGTTCCCGTTGTACGGTCAAATGACAAGACCTCGGCAGCCCAATCTTCGAGAGCGGCTTCGGAATCTGGCCAGTGTCAGTCGAGCTAATTTTCCATGGGTGGTGTTTGGGAGGACGAGAGATGGTGGACACGTCTGCTATCAAGGTGTGATTGCTCTCTTGTGCTTGGACATACCAGCAGCAACTGTTGTTATGGTTGAGTGGACTTTCCAACTCTGGATACTGACAGCATATGCCTATAACATGCAGAGGCTGTAGTCTGAAGCACCAACCGCTCTTGACCGTATTGGAGCGCCAGCCAGAGTTACCAATGCTCCAATAGCGGGAAAGAGTGCTTGTGGTCAAAGTAATACTGTCGTCTCCCAGTATGTGATATGTCGCCTTGTCGAAAATACAGAATTCCTAGCCAATCTCAGGAAGACAGCTTGTGAAAAACCTCAAAACGGTATGGCATACAGAAAAGGAAATGGCTAAGATATGCTTGCAGGTAGGTTCACCTGGTGTTCGTTTGGCGGAAGCACACTTGCGGCGGTCACATCCTCGCGAGCCCAGAGCAAGACAAAACCAGTGGTCGGGGGAGGGCGAGATGACAAGGCTGCTCCTTATAGACGCCCAGCTTGCAAATCACTCAGGATGCAGAAGTGGTACACAGGCCAGGGAATGGGGACTCGAACATCCCGGGCACTTCCTTTTTCCCCTGAGGAGCGTCACCTATGCGCGACCTATTGGGTGTGGATGTGAACGTGCAGCAAAGGCAAGCCCATTGACTCGACTTTGAGATTAGAATGCGCGACTGTGAAAAAGATATGCCCCCTAGGGTGGCTGTAAGACACCCTCGGCGCCATACCGATGTAGGGTAGCAGCAGCTATAGACGGAGATCTTCTCCTCAAGTCTTGGCGGTAGCAGGTACAGCTTGACCCTGACGGCAGGCTGGGCCAACCACATCTTCATTACGCTGGGCGATGGAACCGGAGAGATAGGGAGGGCCTACTGGTGCGGTCGGGATACCAAGCTCAGAACGGGATACAGGATTGGATACACCCAAGGCAGTGCTGTATCATGCTATAAGGTGAATGCTACTCTTCCGGGCCCAACGTTGGCTGGGTTTGCAGGGCAAGCGTGAACATCCCAAGGATGTGCTTTGAAATCTGGAGTTCGGCCGGTGCTCGGACGCTGGCAGCTCATCCGATAACCTCGACCTTTGTATCGACCAAGAGCATGTCTCATATTCTGCTCGTGTCTCAATCCAAAGCCCACCAACCTCATCGAGACGTGCAGCCCGTTGAAAAGAGGTGTTCGGCGCCAGCAATCAGACGCGCAAATAGGGCTGAACCTCATTGGGCGGGCGTTGCAAGCTGCATGATGAGGCCAGATCGTGCAAGTACACGGCAACCAGAACCGCCCACCTCGAAATGCAAATACAGTAGAGCCGACATAAAGGGCCCTGCAAGACGGAACAAGCTCAACATCAAGGATGTCCCGAGTCGGCGGGGGATCAACGGCAAGAGCCACTGGTTGACATGGATCCCTTGCAACACCCCGTGGCATTTGACTGTCAACGAGGTCTCCTTTGCCCAGGGGGTGAAGCTTGACTTTTGGGTTGTGTCTCGCAGTGAAGTGGTCAAAAGCAAGGAGGTGCGTCTCAAAAGCTCCGGCCTGTCTGAACCCGTGCTGCTCCGCCACATCGATGGAGCACCCGTCGTCTACCTAGAACCTTGAAGATTTCAGACTGGTATCCAGGATGCTTCATCTGGTAGTTCCCGATGAGGTGAAGACATTGTATTTATCCCACGACCTGAGGGCTACTAGAGATGTAGTCTGACGGCATGGCCCAATATGATGGAGTTGTAGTCCACCATCACGGCGGCGGGCCTTCCGAGCACTTGGCTACCCATGCAACGGCATGGCCCGTGCCACCCTGGTGGCTTCTAGATCAGATCTCACTCAGATCATCAAGCTTCCAAGAAGAACCCAAGATCCCAAGGTGAGCACGGGAGTTGAGCCTCGACCCCGTTGCAACACATCTTATACAGTAGGAACTGTTTGATGTAGCTCCACTGGGCTTCGGCAACCATGGTCCGACCCCAGCTTGCGGCGGCCACCCGCACCAAGCATGTCGACTTATTGGATTAAAGTCGCACATTCATGCTGGCGCGTTCTACTGCACGCCCACCTGTTTAGCTGGTCTTCGCTATGGATCGCCACGAGGCGGTTGGGAAATCACTCGAGCAGACCAAGTTCGAACGATGTGACACTCTTCCAGAAAGCGGTGTATGAGTTTGGGGATCGAGAAGACAAGCACTCAAGTGGCTCGTCACATGTCATCACAATTCTGCAGCGCCTGGTGGCAGTTGGAACCTTTCCCGAAGGGATTCTGGCGACATATAAAGTTAATGACCTATCACCCGCTTCCGACAATGCGCGTGAGCTGCGCACATCAGAGCACACATTTTCTATCACACGGAGCGTACCAATGGTTGAAAACAACTGACCGAAAGGACGATGATGCACGTACTGGACGAATATGAAGCCAAAAATGGATAACGTCGCAATCTATAGGTCGTCGTCATTATATGGTGTATGTACGAAAGCCCGTATAGTTCTATGCCAATAAAAGAGCAGAAATATCGTACCCTACTTCTATCTAGGGTCAAACAGCGCCATAAGAAGCTCACGATGGGTGACTTCAACCAAACACCACGTTCATGCAAATGCGGATTAAATGCCTTTGGAGTGGCACTACTACGACCAAACGTCTTCCTGTGATGGTGTGTTAGCGATATGTTGTAGTTGCGGCTGAACGAGACAATGCCACACAGGTTACTGTGGTAAGTCTGCGGTGGATCTTTACGTACCTGGTACTGGTTGGCAGCCCTCATATTCTTCACAATTTCCTCTCCCTTGGCCTCGGAGACTCCGCGCTGTTCGGCGATGATTTGCGCGAGGACGGTGTTGACTTCGCGAGCCATGTTCGCAGCATCACCACAGACGTAGACATATGCCTTCTTCTCCAGGAGCTCGTTGATCTCCTTGGCCATTTCCTTGAGCCTGTGCTGGACATACACCTTTTTGGGGCCCTCACGCGAAAAGGCGTTGATCATCTCGAACGAGTCACCAAGAGCCTTCTTACGGTCCTACGATCCCATTAGCAGCTACATCATGATGAGGTCACGCAAATACTCACCTCCCACTCGGACTCGTACATAAAGTCCTCGCCCCGCTTTCTGCACCCAAAAAACAGAAGAGTCTTGCCGATAGTCTCTCCAGCCGTAGCTTGATGCGCACGCTCCTGGACGAATCCGCGGAATGGTGCTACACCAGTGCCAGGGCCGATCATGATGATGGGCTTGGAAGGGTCGGAAGGAAGCTTGAAGTTGGAATGGCGGACATGAACCGGCAAATGAATACCGTCGTACTTGTTTCTCGGGCCCGTAATCTCGTAAGTTTGACCGAACGGCTTGGGGTTGGGGTCACCGTTCTGCTTCTCCTTGAGGGCAAATAGGTAGTTGGTAGCAACACCCTGGAATGGATCGGACCTGCCAGGGATGACCTGGGACTCAACGACAGCCGTGATGGAAATCTTCTTGGGCTGGGCCAGGGAGGATGACGAGATGGAGTAGTAACGGGGTTGCAACTTGGTGACGCCTTCAATGAAAGCAGAGAACGGAATGCTGGTCCACTTCTGGCCTCCACCAACGGTGCGGAGAACTCCAGCAATGTTGTAGTGATACTTGCTGACCTTGTCGTGGAAATAGCCTTTGTCGCTACCAAGCTTGGTCATCTCAGTCTTGGAGGCCTCATCTGGAGCAAATGCGGCCAGGGTTGCGAGGAACTGACGGGAGACAGGAGCACAGATTTCCATGTGGTACCGCACGATGGCGTCGTAGGTCGTGGGAGTCGGGAAAGGGACCTTGGCGGTGGGTTCGAGAGCCTTGACGCTGATAACTTGGTGTCTCTTCTCGGATAATCCGAGGATGTCCAGGAAGTAGTCCACCTCCTGGCCAGGATTGGTAGGCCAAACAGCAATGTGATCACCAGTCTGGTAGGAGAGGTTTGAGCCACTGATATCTACTTCCATATGCAGGCAGTTCCTGTCCGGGACCTGGAAAAGTTCCCGCGACTCAGCAATAGGGGCAATGTATGGGTTGTGGGCATTGAATGGACCCTTGGCCGAACCCTCGAGATGCATCTTGTTCGGTTCACCCAGGTAGACCTCAGGAGAGTCCCTGGTGAGACCTTCGCGCTCAACAATACCGAAGACAGGCTCATACTGGGCTTCGCGTTCCTCGAGTCCCATCTTCTCGGCCAGAGCTGCCCACATGGGCTCCTTCCAAGCCAAAAAGTCTTCCTCCATGGTACCGGCACCGTCATCACCTTCACCGGCCTCGCCGATTCTGTGGCCACCCATCTTCTCGAGAGCCTTGTTGACGTTGCGAACCATGGAGTTGTAATGCTCATAGGTGTTGTTGCCTAGTCCGAAAGCGACATATTTGAGGTTGCCCAGAGGAGGATCGGCAGATTCCGAGAAAGAGACGTCTTCGCCCGTGATGAACTCGTAGAAGTCGACGGCGTTGTCTGTCGGCTCGCCCTCACCGTAGGTGGCGAGGACGAACATGACAACCTTGTCTTCGCTGATGGCGTCCAGGTTCTCGTAGTCGTAGTCCTCAAGATCGGCTACCATGGTGTCGAGTCCGAAACGACTCTTGCCTTCTTTGGCCAGTCTCGAAGCGTAGTCCTCAGCGGTACCAGTCTGGGAGCCGTAGAAGATGACACAGTTCTTTCCCGACTCGTCCATCTTCTCTATGATGTTTCTCGTTTTCCCCGCCTTGAGCCCGTTGGCGTTGGCGAAGGAGTTTGCGTAGGGGTCCTTGGTGACGCCCCAGTACTTGCCCTTGGTGAAGTAGGCTACCGTGCCCACGAGGATGATCGAGAGGACGATCAAGTCCAGCGTGTCGAGCTGCGCCATCTTGGCTTACGGTTCGGGGTGGTTTCGCGACTGCGAGTATAGAGGTGGCCGTATGGCGTCCAAGACCGTTGTTGCGCGGTCTGGTGATGGATTGGAGGGAGTGTCTCAGTTCGGCGGTGCGCCCGGTCCCAACACTATGACGACGACCACCAGTACTTTTGCAGTGCGTGCGTGCTCGGCGAGTTGAGCCGAGGTTCTGCGCGAGACAAGTCGCTGGTTGTGAAGCAACGCTGGTTGGGCCAGCAGATCGCGCGGTGCGAAAGGGGGTTTGGGGCGTGTACTATGTAGGGAGGCTCGTAAGTGCCGGACGACGACCACAAGCGATTAGGGCGCTGGTGGGCGACAGTGGGCCGATGCTACGGGGGACCAACCGGAGGGGCCCGCGGCAATAAGGTACTATGACAGTAGGGATAATACTCCGTAATGGCGCCCTTCTCGCCAGCGGCTACTGTGTAGGTACAGTAGCTTGCCTACGCACGAATGTGGTCGGGGGGTGGAATCGACAGCACTCTGCACAAACCAACGCAGAACCGACAAAAGGAAACGGAGAGCAATGCAGGTGAAGCGGCGGAAACGGCCGAGCTGGGAACGTTGGATCCAATATACGCAGCGAGGGATGGGAGAAGAGAGTCGGCACTCCTGGAAAGTTTTTGATAAGGACAGCCTAGCCTCATAATAAGCGCTACAGCGCACAGGTGGTGGGCAGGCCACACCCAAGGGCCGCCGTCCAATGCCATGGATTTGGAGAAGACCCCTACAGTGCGTCGGCGGCGGCCTGCAGCAGAGCGAGCGAGCGAGCCCTGGAGAGGAGAGTGCCAGCGTCTGCCCTGGTGCTTTGCGCAACTCGAACCAGGCCCCCTGGGGTCCTGGAGGCTGTCGGGCTTGGTGGAAGCCAACAGAATGGCGAGCCGGGGCTTGGGATGCCACCGAGTCTAGGCCTGTTCGGGACTGGCGCTCCCGAATTTCGCTGCCTTTCTGCAAGAGATGGCTGTGCGGAATCGACCCATTTGATGAGCGAGCCCGCCTCCCGAGTCACCGACTGCCCGACGCCAGATGGCGACCCAAGGGTGACCTCGTGCACCCCCAGCACCCCACTGGAACCCCACTGGCCCCGTGCCAAGCCCCTCCAGGGCTCTCTCAACTTTCAAGTGCGCTGGTTGCTTGGAGCCACATCCACCTCTGCCGCCCATCCATGAGCCATGCGGCAGTCGTCTCGGGCCTGCCACCACGACCGTATTCGTATCCGCTGGCCGCACTGTCTATACTAAGGTCCACACGGCCGACTCGGGATTTCGGAATCGGAATCGCTCCTATACTGACTATAGCCTAGGTACTGCCTTGCAATTCAAAAGACTCCATCCCCGTCTTCGTGAGCTCACCATCCTTCTCGGCGCCGGGAGACGCGGCTTCTGGGTGGCAATGCTGTGCAATGAGGGTGACCTTCCACGCTCACAGCCGGAGCTTAACCCTAGGATATGACGGGTTTATGTCCCCGCCTCGCCCGCCCGCCGACACAGCCGGAGGTTTTGCTAGATGATCTGCCCTCGCGAGATCTATCAGGCGCCCTCCTACTTACATTAACGCCAGTGATTCGCTTAGCGAGGTCCAACACTTAGGATAACTCAGAGTCCCCGCCACTGAGAAACGACTCTGTCAGCCACAAGACCATAAACGTCGAAAGCGGCTCAGAACAATGCTCTAAATCTTTGCCGTGGCATGGAATCCCATCCTGACGTGGAGCCGGAGCGCCCAGCTTAGGCCCGGGAGCCGGACCAGAATGTTGGGCTGCCAAGGTCAAGGAGCTGCGGGTGTAGGTGGCGGGCGAGACTACAAACCGCGGAGGTTCAGGATGTTCGAGTCTCCTATAATATACATGGCACAGGAAATTCGATTTCACGACCAGTAGCCTCACCACAGCAGTTGTCCGTCGCCAAAGCCGGAGCCGACATCAGCCAATGCTCTCAGTAGTCAATCAGTGACGCATTACAGATACCGGCAGGGCATGAATGATCCACCTAATTACAGTAGCAGAAGTATATATCCCCAGGCCCAAGGGCCGTAAAGGACACGTGAGGTCTCGCGTGGGGATCGGTAGTTGCACCGGGTTGGAATCTGGTGTCCAACAGGGAGGATCATTGCGTCTCGGCCTCGGGGTACTAGTCGGACAACTTCCTCTTAGGTAATTCCGCTATGGTACCGACACGTTGCGAGCAAGACTTCGCGAGCGATGCTATCCAATCTTGTGACCTTGCTTTGATACCTGTAAGGAACGTATGTGTGAGCGGGATTGAAGGTCTGTCTTTGGGACAAAAGCCAAATTCTTTCTTCATTGCATCCTGACTGCGTTGCTATTCTGCGCTCTTGCCAGTGATCAGATACTCATGTCGATCTGAGATTCGCATGTAGGCATGTGACTTTCTTGGCCCGAGCTATCGTGATGGCAGTCTACAAACGATTGCTGTTTAGTTTGCGCTACCCCATCCATACGAAGTTCGTTATTTGCCCTGTAATCAGTCGTACAACTGCACTGCACTGTTCTACGTTGTAGTTGCTGACACATTACTTCTATTGTTACCATAAAGGCCGAAAGACCCGCACACGTTCTCGCTAACGGTCCCAAAGTGAAGTGGATCGATACAAAGCAAATACTCAAGCTGTGCAGTGCGGATGATGCGACATTAGTAGTCTCCCACCGTTCTACGAGACAGATCTGAGTCTAGGCTTGGCATACTTGAACATTGATTTGGAGATGCAAGAACAGCTGAAGCATTTTGCTTTTCGCCAGGTGCGTCAAGCATCTGAACTCAACCTGGCTGCCATTACCAGCGCTTTGGCAGCAGCAGGGGGCTTGCTCTGGTTGGCACGATCTGATTGGCCAGTGCCTTGCAGATGGTCCTAGGTGCATGTTCCCAGGCCCCAGAACCCGCGATAGTTAACTGAGTCGATCCCACTGAAAAGCACGAGGCGGGCGTCGATCAGGCGTTGGCAACGGACCAGACACGCAGACGTGCGTTCAGCTGCAAGCATTTTACCACTTTTCCATGGCTCAGGACGGCACGCTCCGGCTTCCCATTGGTTGTAGACGCAAGGAGGAGAATCACTGATTATCAGGCGTGGGAAGGGGGCTTACACATGACTGCTTGTCTGGCTGTCCAACCAACCTCGACCTGCCGACGACGGCACGCTCAACCTCCCAATTAACGTACGCACTTCCAGGTTGTACTTGACTGCTCCTGCCCCCCTACACAACAAATAGCAACGGGCGAGGACTTGGGGTTGTTTTGACGACGTGCCGGCCGTACTCTGACAGACATGGGCTCATAATCCCGAAAATGGGTGAGTTTGGTCCCCGCCTCAATTATACCCTGGTCATGATTCCTGGAGGGCGAGAAAAAAGTTCCCCGGCCTAAGGTAGGCAACCCGCCAGCCGCGTCGCGGGCCATTGGCCGGAATCTGTGCGCCCGGGAGAACGCTTTCCACCGTATCTGAAGCTCTCCTGGGCTTGTGTTTCACAAATGAGGGGTGCAATCTCGAAGCCAGTCCGATGCCCTGATGTCTGATGTCTGATGACTGATGCCTTTACTGACAACTCCATCGCACCATGCAGCTCCGTCCCAGGCGCTGCCAGACCAACTCCCGCAGGACCCATTGAAGTACTCACCCCGGTCCGCCTCACGATTGAACGTCCACGACGATGACGACGGCGCATGGGACAACACACTGCGCCCTGCTGTCCTAGGGACACCTACTAGAGCACATTCCCGCGAGTCCTCCCTCGAGAAGCTCCAAGCCGGCAGCCTAGCCGGGATCCCGGAGTCGCCAGTGCTGCCCAGCTCTGACGCCGCCTCTCCGCGGTCCAACGCATCGTCCTCGCGTCAAGCCCTGGGGGGCATCTTGGAAAGGGTCGTCGATCCGAAGGCTGCGGCTTATGGGCACCATAGGCAGACCTCAATCGTTCATGGCATTCAACACTCACGGAATGGAAGCCTGGCTAGTTCGTCGTCCAGTCCGCTGAGCCCGCAGATGATAGCTGCTGCTGGCGTTGGCCTCTTGCCGGAAAGATCAGACTCGCATGCGGCTGGTCGCGCAGATACCGAGGTGACCATGACCTCCCGGCCGCCGACGGCATTGTCGGGCTCGACTGCTACTCCCAGTATACACCCGACATTACAGAGGACTTTGTCCACGACCGAGAATGGCGGTGGTGCCGGGGCCACTACCCGGAGGCATCCGGAGCGCATGCAGAGCAGGTCGAGGCGAGATCATTCGCAACATCCTTCCCATTCGTCTAGGCATCACAGCGAGCAGAAGACTGTGGGCGAGTACGCCCTGCACGTATTATTCACGCATGTGAGTGTCTTGGCCGTGGACGTGTGAGCTTCCAGCTGCTGACTGCCACTTAGTTTATTGCGCTCGCCGAGGAGAAGCTGACCGAATGCATAACTGTTCCATTCGAACCGGAACCCAACATCGAGGCTATTTGCGGGCCAGGAGCGGACCCTGCTTTTGATCAGTTCATCGTAGCCCTGGGACACATAGCCAGCCAAAAACCGAAACCATTGATCGACTTGATAATGCTATGGAGGAAACACAAGAGCGAGTCTGCGAGCGATGCAAGAAATCAGCTGCAACAGTCGAGGGGCAATATGCCCGGCGGCCCCCTGCTCCGACGCAATACCGAACCTGTTCAGGCAGCCGCTCCCAATCCTATGCCATTAGAGAATGGCAACACCAACGATCAGGCATCACTTGCTTCAAAACAAGAATTTGTAGCGCAGGCCGAACGGCGCTCTATTGTGTCCATTTACATTCTGTGTCGTGTTCTGCTGGAGGTTATCAGCCAAAGCACGCTCAGTTGCATCACGCCGGAGATGGAAGACAAGTTGGAGGGCATCATTTTCGGGCAGCTCAAAATTGCAGACATCGAGCAGCTCTTTGTGTCTCCGCTTAAACTGGCCAACTGGAACTTATTTGCCCAGCTCTTGGGGGTAATGAGCGAG